GGCTACCCATAGGAACCCAAGAAAAACCGTTTAGTCCAGAGGCGCAACTAGGGGGGGGGGCGGCCGGGCGCGCGCCCTCCCCTAGCACCTGAGAGGGGGGGCGCCCCCCCCCCCTGCAGAATGAAAAGAAAGAAAGAATGGCGAAAATCTGTATCACAGGAATAAGAAAACTAATAGAGTTATTGTAGAAATTTTATTATACTATAGTTAGTTTAAAAAAAAATATTTTTATCTTTCTCAATTCTCAAGGCTATTGTAAACATTTAATGTAAAAAAAGTTCTGAACTGTATTTTATTTGTGTTGAGTTAATAGAGTACTCGTAGATATCAAACTTTGAATTCTTTTGGTAAAATATTCCAAGTTTGAAATATCAAATGTTTACACCACTCGATGCAAAGATTTAGGGATTAAAATATTTGAGTTTGTGGCAAAAACTCATATCCAAATCAAGAGAAAATTCTGAACCTGGCAAATTTCTAACTGATTATCATATTTCATAACTAACAAGATTTATCTTCTTTGACAGAAGTTCTATAAAATCGAAAATGAATTTAGATTATAAAAATTGGTTAGATCAATCATTAATTCAATAACTTCAAGAGAAAAGGTAACATTATCTGTCCTTTTTCAATTTAAATGATTGAATTTATTCTTTACCTATGTATTTTTATGATTATTTCTTGCAGTTTAATCTGTAATTAAACCAGGTACTTAAAAAATACTCTTTTGCGATTTGCACACACATACAATGAATTCACTCATATCATTTATTTTATAGCTGATAGAAGTATAAATTTTGTAAAAACTCAAGAACAAAAAATCGATTTGAACTGAACACAGCCAAATCTGCATGCAACAACTTAAAATTTCCTTTTTTTCGACTTCAAACCCTTAAAAACTTATGTTTTCGAAAAATTTTCAAAAATGGGGGAAGGAAACCCCCCCTTTCCCCCCCCCCCCCAGACCATTACAAAATTATATATTGCCTCTCCCCTTTCAAAAGTCCTAGTTGCGCCTCTGCAGACAGAGGAACGAAATATAAACTTTAATTTCAGAGGAAATTAATTCCAAAACTATAACTCTTGGCCCATTTCTAACACTGAGTGTTAGAAATGGGCCAAATCTGCAAAGTTATCTTTTTCATGCATATATCTCTAATCCAAGCCGACACTTGCAAAACTAATCTATACAATTTATTAAAAATGGCTAAAACTAATTGAAAGAAGAAATGTCCACTTTAAACTATAATAATAATTGGTGTGAGAATTAGTTTTTGATAATGGTTTTCATTTTCGAAAATATATATCCCTGTTTTCAAACAATTACCGCATTTCGCCTTTTTCGGAACATATCCTGGTTTTGAGATAATTACTCGAAGTCGAATTCATGATCAATGTCAATTTTCAAGCATTTACGCATTTACTTACGTAGCCAAACAAGATTTTTTGATAAGGTAAAATAGAAGAGAAATTTTTTGTTCTTTTATAATTAAAAAATCGAGAAATCAAAGTTTAATATTATTTTGTTCTTACAATATATCGACTTAACTATAGAAATACGGGAAATTGTTTATCTAGAAATGTGGGAAATTAAATCAACCTTATTCTATAATTTAACAAATAAATAGTGAAATTAAGATTTTAGAAATAATTTTGCAGGTCTTCCATAAGATAAATTTTACTTTCAGTGATTTATTTTGTAAGTTATATGAAAGTGAGAATTTTGTTCTGAATTGTGGATTATACTCAAAAAGGGGAAAGTGGGTTTTGTCTCGAAAACGCGATTATGTTTCAAATTCAGGATATGTTCGAAAATGGAAAACCTAACATTGTCTTGAAAACGGTCAATGGTTTAATATAAAAAGAATTCCTTTTATAATTTTGGTTCCAGAAAATAGTTTTAAATTGGGAGTGTTGTCATCGTTCTGATCGAAATAACATACATCGTTTTATAAAAACTAACGAAAAAACGATCGATTTTAAACAGATAGTTTATTTTCTGAATGACCGATTTTTGAAAAAACTATATTTTTTACTGAACGAACGATCTTATTGAACGAACAATTTTGTACTGAACGAACGATTTACCGAATGATCGTTCAGTGAGAAAACGAACGAAATATATGGAAAATGAACGATAATTTTGAGAAAGAACGAAATTGGTATTTTTGAACAATTGGAAAAAAACGAACAAAATGGGCCGTTCACGAACGATGAACGAATGAAATGAAAAGAGCCGAACGCGCCCATCTCTAGAGACTGCATTATAGTCTTGTCCATTTAAATAGATTTATAAATGCCATAGAATTTCCTTTTGCAGCCTGTCCATTATCAATGTTAATTGTTTGTCATTGTTATGTTCTGCTTAAAATTAGCTGATTTAAATCTCAATTTCCTGTATTGTCTGTGCTGCATTGCATAAATCCTCAAGCCAAAAATTAACCAGATAACCCTAATTAAGAATTGAAAATTTTCAGACAGAAAAACTAAGCAAACTTAACTATTTTTGCTTGAAGAAACAGGGTGAATCGGACATGCATATTTATGGCTCATCTCAAATGACAGGTAACTCCGAAAGTTCCTATATATAAAGTACTCTGTTTGTTTATATGTCCGATCATACATAAACCCCTAAACTGATTTGCCTCAAATCTTGATTGGGGAACTCGGGAGAACCACGGGAATGTTCTTAGCTTGGTGTATTAAAGTACCAATCGATTTTTATAAGGAAAAAAGCTAAAATCGTAATTAAACACCAAGTGCGGGTAAACGGCGAGAGTAACTATGAGTAGCCTGTGCTCCCTGTGCAGCGCCGGGCAATTCAGCTAGTCCACAATAAGGAAATACCCGAGAAAATCACGGGTTGGGGTAATTCTAAAATGGCGGGCTAATTTCTCAAATTTCCTATGGAATGTCGTAAAATTAAGACTGAAAAATTTAGGCAAACAAAATATAAACATTCTCTACCGGTAGAAAAAATACAATATTTTTTAGACAAACATTATATTCTGTCAGACAACACTATACTTCACCAGACAAACATTATATCCCGCAAGACAAACATTATATCCTGCCAGACATATATATCGATATCCCGCCAGACAAACAATATATCCCGCCAGACAAACATTATATCCCGCCAGACATATACATCGATATCCCGCCAGACAAACATTATATCCCGCCAGACAAAAATTATATTCCGCCAGACAAACATTATTTCCCGCCAGACAACCATTATTTCCTGCCAGGACAAACATTTTTTCCCGACAGGACAAACATTATATTTCGCCAGACAAACATTATATTCCGCCAGACAAATATCATTTCCCGCCAGGAAAAATATTATATCCCGCCAGAAAAACATTATATTCCGCCAGACAAACATTATTTCCCGCCAGGACAAACATTATTTCCCGCCAGGACAAACATTATATTCCGCCAGACAAACATTATTTCCCACCAGGACAAACATTATTTCCTGCCAGGACAAACATTATATCCAGTCAGACAAACATTATATCACACCAGTTTATATAATACCTCCTTTCTCATGTTCAATCTTACAAATACTATGTTCAGCTAACAAAACATAATAATCATATTTATTCTAACAAACATAATGTCTGGCTAGCTAAAGATTAAACATTACATTCAATATTTAGCTAACCAAATATTATTTCCTGACCAACACAGGCCTATGGCCTGTGGGGAAGAGTTTCCTCTAATGGAAAAATGGAAAAGAAAATATTTTGATTTCCTAGGTAATTATTGGGGAGGGATGGTGGTGGGGGGGGAATTGCAGATAGGGAACTCGAGTACCAAGGGGCAATTTGGTTTGAGGATGGAGGGGAAGGAGGGGTAAAGGGAGGGGATGGGTCAAAGGCAAAACAGATTTCTAAGCCCCAGGACAGGAAGTCGGGGTGGGGTGGGAGTCGGACCATTAAGGTTTGGGTAGAGTATAATCACAGGTGGAAAACCCAAGCCTTTGATTCGTAAACAGTGTTCTGTTCTCTCGGCTATAGTAGAACTATGAAATAGGGAAACCCTGTATGGTGTAGTCATTCAGAATTCTCTTTAAAGGGAAAGACCGGCTATGTGTAAGGTAGTTAAACTGAGTATGCAGTTTTGTGGAAAAAATCTTTAGGATTCATTTTAAACTTATAAAACGTTTCCACGATGTATAATTACTGAGTCTGAAAATGTATCCACTCAAAAATACGATTTTTAACGTCGACTTTGCACTCAAACTCAGGATTTACAGATCTTTAAAAAGTTTCATATGTCTTAAATGAATCCTAAAGAATTTGTCCACAACACTGCACACTAAGTTAATTTTTCTTCCTTACAAAGCCGGTCTGTCCCTTTAACCCTCTGTTACAAGGGGGGGGGGTGGAAGGACCTTCGCACCCCCTGATAGATTCAGGTTTCAGAATATCTTAAGGGAAAGAATACCTAGTGCAAGACAGGAAAGGAAATATTCACCTTCGGTGCGTCTTTTGGTTCCTAAATTTGGATTTTTTTTGTTCCAAAATAAATCTAGCACCCCCTGACATAAATCCTGTATCCACCCTTAAATGTAATGTATAGTAGAATTAGGAACACCTATGTCGTATGATAATACATAGGATGTTGTAGTATAATTAGAAAATGTAGTCGTATATTATAAATTACCTATGTTGTATGATATTACATTGGATGATAGTCTATAAGAAGAGAATTTGGAAAACCATAGATGATGTATGATAATACATAGAATACAGTCTAGGAGAATTAGGAAAATCTATGTCCTATGATAATAGATAGGATGTTGTAGTGTAATTAGATAATTTAGTCGTATATTATAAATTAAGTTAAAACCATGATAACATTCTAATGTTAAATAAATCCAAGATAAGTTCCTGAATTTGTGATGGTTGTCGTGTTAATTCTTTTTTCTTTAACCTGTCCTTTAATAATATTACTTACTATGTCTCCTGAAGAGGTTTTGTGGAGTCCTTTCTTACTCCCAGATCCAACCACACCATAGGTCTAAACATTCAAAACATTTAAACATTTAATACATTAAATACATTAAAAACATCAAAATCCGGTTGAGAAAGGTCCATCGTCTATATAGATTAGAACCGGAAACTAATTTTCTAATCCTTATATCTTTGCAACATGATGTCACAGACCTTTGATATCTCTAACGATGATTTCTGCCAGAGTAAGTAGTCAAGAGTTTAAGATATCAAAGGTTTATAGGATCAGGGACCTTATTTTATGAATAAAGACAAAGTTAAAACCTATTCTCTTGTGCACTGAAGAGAAGTGGTTCAACTTAGTATACGCTGTTCAACTATGTCTCGCTATTTAAATTTGGTCCATAGTTGCAAAGATATATGGATTAGAAAATTAAAGTTTGAGGTAAGTAACCAGTTTCTTTGTCTGATAACTGATTAGTGATCATACATTGGATGTGAAAGTGCAGAGGATTTTAATTTTCTAGGAATAAAATAAAGACTTTATTTATTTTTATTTATATATTTATCAAACTTCCATAAAAGTGACAGGAAATTTTTCCTCAGATTAAAATTAAGGTCTGAGGCAAAAATACATAGATTTGTTTTCTCTCGCTGAACTAGTTTAATAATCAACAAAATCAAACAATTACATTTTACAAACATGAAACATCTCATTTTGACATAACAAACAGAACTGGCGCTGGTTGTCTGATTTCTTATGATAGAAAATGTATTTCATGCTGTTAGAATTGAAACCCTAATATTTTCTTCGTAATAAATTTCGAACTAACCGAAACCATCTCAAGAATACAAACATTGAGGTCGAAATTATGTAAAAATATATGAGATACACCTTTTACCTAACAATAACATTCTTATCATAATATCATGGTTTCGATTGTTTGATGTCGTGAATAAATTGTCGATGGTTTCATGACACCTAAAGTACAACAAAGTTACATTTTTACAACATCCGTTCTTACTCCGCAGTGGCCTCCGGAGGCAGTCCGTCCCAGAGCCATGTGAGGTCGCCTTCATAACAAATATGTCAAATTAGCTTAATTCATTTTCATAGGGTTTCCTATCTTTTCCTAATAAATTCTCTGATTGAAATCTCCCACGGAATCTTTCTTGAAGCTGTTAAGAATGCAAAACTATTCAAACCAAGTTTAAAATTAATGAACCATTCATGGCAGAACTACGACAACCTATCATCAAAAAAGTTGGTCCTCCAAAAAAAAGTACCAGTCATTTTCCGGATCAAGTTCATAAAGTTTCAGCATTTCGTATCTAGTTCTGTTTGACGGGGTCTATTTATTCGTATTTTGGCCAGAGAACGGTTAATCTATAAAAGTTTTTTTTTAAGATTTTGCAACTAAGCTGGCAATTTTTATATCTATAAATATATGTGTTAAACTTATTTAAGTCATTCTCTTCCAAACTGATTGGAGAAATACAGAAAAATCTTCAATTTCAATTTAACTAAAAGTTTGCAGTTCTGCTTGTTCCTTTAGGTTAATACTCATTTGTCCATTAAAAGTACGAGGTAAAATGTAAAAGTGCACATGGCATATTTTTGAAAGAGTTTATTGTTGGAATTTTTCAGTGTGAGGATCTAAAAAAAAGGTTTTTAGGAAATCTTATTACGTATGTTTGTAAAACCAGTTTATGAAATTATCCGAAAAGTTTTGAATGATCTTAAAAGAGATTTGGGAATATGTGAAGAGTTAGGAGGATATTTATACAGGGTGTCACTAAAAAACTGTGCTGTAGGGGTATTAGTTACTGACGAAACAATATTCGTTTAATTTTTACAACCAAGGTGTAAATCGAAAATAGATTTCCCGGATTTTTCAAATTTTCATTTGTTCCCAAAGTATGAACAAATTAAAGATTTTCGAAATTTCGAAACTACCTAAATTCTTAAACCTATCATAAAAATGGATCAATAACAAATTTAGGCGTAAAAATCATTTCTAAGGTAAAAATAATCTTATCTTTTAAAATATTTTTTTTGTAATTTCAGATTCCCAAAAAATGTTTTATTTTTGTGCTCAGGTGGGTTAGATTAAAAAAAATTTGTTAATAAAGCTAGTTGTGGATAGTACAAATTGATCTCAAAACGAAAATAACATTTTTTTTTTGTGGTCTGGGCAAGGTTCGTACCCTTAGTTTTTTTTCATTTTTTTTCTTAATGTTAATTTCATTTTCCGATTGCTCTAGCTCCAAAAGTAAAAATCGTGAATCCAAAATTTTAGTTAAAATAGAAACTTTACACGTACAGCTTATAATCAAAATAAAATTTCGAAAATTTTGAATATTTTCATAGTCCCTTTCTTTCTACCGGGAAAGATAAGCAGATGACGTGAAAAATCGAAAATTTAAAAAATCAGAGAAATCGATTTACACTCAAGGAATTGGCTTTAACAAAAAAAAGTATATGAGACCTAGAAGGAAAAAAATTGCATCATGAAATAACGGAAATATGGAGCTTTCTAATAACACATTGGTTTAAAAATTTAACGAAAGTTGTTTCTTCAGTTACTAATACCATTATTGCACAGTTTTTTTTGGGACACTCTGTATATAAAGCTATTTTAGAAGATGTTTTGATGATATTAGGATAATATGTATGTAGAATATGAGAATAAATAGAAGAGAAAAATAAAAGAGTTTGTGAATATATTAGAAGAGTTTGTGAATATATTAAAAGAGTTTGTGAATATATTAGAAGAGTTTGTGAATATATTAGAAGAGTTTGTGAATATATTAGAAGAGTTTATGAATATATTATAAGAGTTTATGAATATATTAGAAGAGTTTATGAATATATTAGATGAGTTTGTGAATATATTAGAAGAGTTATGAATATATTAGAAGAGTTTATGAATATATTAGAAGAGTTTGTGAATATATTAGAAGAGTTTGTAAATGTATTAAAAGAGTTTGTGAATATACTAGAAGAGTCATGAATATATTAGAAGAGAAGAGTTATGAATATTTTAGAAGAATTTATGAATATATTAGAAGAGTTTATGAATATATTAGAAGAGTTTATGAATATATTTTAAGAGTTTATGAATATATTAGAAGAGTTTATGAGTCTAACGACGTCCGATAAAATCTACGACTAACTAAAGAATGACGTGCATGATATATGCATATTGTATAACTGTACAAAGTGAACAATGAAAATGTTAAAAATGTTAATTAAAGAGCTGAACAATAATAGATTTATTTAGAATATTTAGGAGAAAGATGTTTACGTAGACTAGTTCAATAGATGAAGTAGATCATTAGACTTTTCCGAGAAAAATCTTTATTTTGATTTTTAATTTTGCAAATCCTAAACAATGTCAAAACTAAAAAAAAATAGTTATCTAAATTGACAATCATTCTTTTTTTTTAAGGGGCAAATTAGAGTATTCATATGTTTTTTATATGCTTTTGCAAACATTTTTTTTTGTATACTTATGATAAAAAATACCTAAATTTGGTGTATTCAAAATTATTTCAATTTAATTCCTAAAATATTTTAAAAGATGAAATTGAAATCATTCAAAAATGCGGATTAATATTTAGAGAATTAATAATGCAAATCCTGTATCATATATAAATATATATATTAATGATAACTAATTCCAAGGAGAATTGAATATAAGGAGGGGGCGATAGGGTTTCCGTAAACTTTGCTGTGACGTTTTTGGACTACTGAATAACTAGTTTTTGCGTAACAACAATAACAAAGGCAGCTGATCTAATGTAAACAAACATGAGTTAGTACGGTGAATTTTCATCTAACGCCAGATGTTTGTTTATCATTTGTGTTATTATTTACAATCTTTATTATTGTTGTTACGCAAAAACTAGTTCTTCAGCAGTCCAAAAACGTCAAAGCAAAGTGTACGGAAACCCTATCGCCCCCTCCTTATATTCAATTCTCCTTGATTAATTCTGTTAACTTTTTAAAATTAACATGATTGTATCATGATTGTCAACGTCACTATTTGAGATGAATATTTATTAAAAATTATCAAAACTTTTACGATGACGTTAAATCTAGCATAAATTAAATCAAGCCAATTTATAGCTTGTCTTTTGCTTTCGAGAAAGTTATCATTTCTTATAAATAAACTTTGCTCTTAGAATTAGATGAAATGGGAAGCATTGTGAATTCTTTATTAAGCTGACACAGTACGAAAGACCCACCTAGAGCTAAGAATGTACGGGCTGCAACCGAATACAATTATTTGATTATTCAAAAACCATTACCAATAGTATATATACATGTAATAAACGAAGAATAGTTAAAATTCAAATTGTGAAGCTAAAAAGAAAAGTTTTAGAAAGAAAATAAATCAGGGAGGAAATTGAGTCCAAAATATAGATGCTCTCTGTTGATCAAATCACAGGACGTGCTATTCACCGTGGATATTCTCTTTATTTTTATAATTGTGTTGATAACGTTTTAAACTGATGATTAATAAACTCGAACCTGATCGGAGAAACCATAGATCTGTACACACCGGAGGAACAGGTTCGGGTAGATACTAGAACAAGATATAAATATATAACCAGTATACCTGTATCCTATAGTACCCCCTGTATGGTACCTGTATCCTGGAACCCCCTGTATACCTGTATTCAGGTATCCCTATATCCTGATATCCCATGTATCCTGGTATCCCTGTATCCTGGTATCCCTGTATCCTGGAATCCCTGTATCCTGGTATCCCTGTATCCTGGTATCCCTGTATCCTGGTATCCCTGTATCCTGGTATCCCTGTATACCTGACATTGGTGAGAATGATCTAGGAACTGCTAATGAAGGGGAGTAGGGTCTGTTATCAATATTTAATGCAGGACATGAAGAGGAGTTTTCCCTAAAAATAGATTTCATCAGTGTAAAAACTTTTTGACGAATAGCACATTTAAAACAATTTTTCACCTCCACTATATAATTTGGATTTTTGAAGAAAAAAAATGTTAGTGTTGGTGAAATGCACAAAATCTAAAAATTGACAAATTATCATTTTTTAAGGTAAACACATTCCCCTTTCACAAAAATTATTTTACATTTTTCCACCCAAAATATGTCTTCATTCGATCATAAAACCGGACATGTAAACTGTACACCAAGTGGTAAACATAAAACTGTGGAATACAAAGACGAAATATTATTATATATATCTGATAAAGTTGTTATAAAAAGTAAAAAAATTTTTATCAGTGGATTGAACATCACTGTTGTTAGTCGAATATGGTTCTGACCTACTGAATGGTGATAAGTAGGGTGGGTAGTGAAACTGTTGTTATATGGTTCTGACCTACTGAATGGTGATAAGTAGGGTGGGTAGTGAAACTGTTGTTTGTCGAATATGGTTCTGACCTACTGAATGGTGATAAGTAGGGTGGGTAGTGAAACTGTTGTTTGTCGAATATGGTTCTGACCTACTGAATGGTGATAAGTAGGGTGGGTAGTGAAACTGCACTGTTAGTCGAATATGGTTCTCACCTACTGAATGGTGATAAGTAAAATGGGTAGTGAAACTGTTGTTTGTCGAATATGGTTCTGACCTACTGAATGGTGATAAGTAGGTAGTGAAACTGTTGTTTGTCGAATATGGTTCTGACCTACTGAATGGTGAAAAGTAGGGTGGGTAGTGAAACTGCTTGTTAACTGTTGGCGGAAGATTGCTCTGGGTCCGGGTTAGGTTTGGCATGATGATCTTCCTGCTAGCAGATATTATCCTGAAGAGATTTATATTTCTTATTTGTCAGATAATAGTATCGAATCCCGTATAATTAATGTACGGAAAAGCGTTGAATCCCGTACAATTCTCATTAATGTACGGAACATCGTTGAATCCCGTACAATTTTCATTAATGTACGGGATAGCGTTGAATTCCGTACAATTCTCATTAATGTACGGAACAGCAACTGGTGCCGTACCAAAATTAGAATATCAATGTGTACGGAGTCGGACAGGGTAAAAGTTGAATGGATTCTAGCACGAGGTTTATATTGAGAGCAGCGAGGTTGCTGAACTCCGTACTTCCGTTACAACTACTTCTCAAGTACCTGCACTGCACTGCCTCAAATCCTAAATAAATGATTCAAGATTTAGAAAACTCTAATGTGAAGTCAACTGGTGAAGACAAATTCAATCCCGTAGCTAGGAATTTAGAAAGGGGGGGGGGTCACAACTTTATAAAAATGCATTGGAGCGTTAAGGAAAACGCGAAAAAAATGATTGACCTCAAAACCTCAGAAAATGCTAAGATTTATGAATCAAGGTTAAAAAACTGAATTTTAGTTTATTCCTGCACTCATATATAATTTTAGATAGATGTTTTGTTTGTTTTAAAGCATGTCTTAGTTCTCTTACAAACTATTGAGAAGATATCTTGTATTCGCATGATAACAAATAATTTTTGATATTGATAACAAATATTTCCTTTATAACTGAAGGAATATTGACGTGTTACATCAGAAAACTCTGTTCAAAATAGATGTTGTAATTATGAAGTTAAAGGCTAGAAACCATAAATAAATGAATGTTTATAAGAACAAATTTTACTTGGACAAATAGTCGAACATTATTTTTTTTAAGGACAAGGAAAATAGCATTAAAAAGGATGCAAAAAATATTCAATTTTCAAAAATTCGGACATTAAAACTACACCTGCTAGTTAGAGTATGAGTTTAATGAAATTCTATCTTTAACTCAGTTTTTGCTGCATATTGTTTCTCTTAGATCTAAGATAGTTTATAAAAATCAATAATCTATGAATCTTTTCATTTTTCGAGTTAAACGAGTGGTTGGTGGTTGAACTGTCTCTATGTAGTTCAACCACTTCTCGCGATTCATTAAATCCGGTTCCTGTTCCCTCAAACCAACAAAATTTAATTAAATTGTTGTGAACCCAGCAAGTTCAATGGAATTATCTCCGATTCAGAAAAGGATTTTCACCACATTTTTAGAGAAGTATCTTTCTTAAAACAGAAATTACCGAATTACAAACTACAATTGATAAATTAGAAAAACATAACTCCGCACAAGTAAAAAAGGAAACTAAAAGAGCAGAAGTTCATGAAGTAAAATGTTTACCAACTTTAGAGGATATGTATGTATAGCGAGAGAACGTGTATACAGCGTGCCAGCGCTGTTAGTAAACTGGAGATCAATTGATTGACAGATACTGACTAACAGCAGACAGATAGATGGAGAGTAGAGAGGAGAAGAGAGGCAGAGAGACAGCGAGAATAGATAGATAGAGAGCTAAAGATGAAAAGAGATAGATAGATAGATACAGAAGAGAGGATAATAAGAGAACTATAAAGAGAGGATGATAAATAGATAAAAAGCTAAAAACACCAAAGTGGATAAAAGAAAGAGAGGAGAGAGAGGAGAGAAGTGAGAGGAGAGAGGAGAAGGGAGAGAGAAGAGAGAAGAGAGGAGAGAGAAGAGAGGAGAGAGGAGAGAGGAGAGAAGAGAGAAGAAAGATGAGATAAGAGATAAGAGAGTAGAGAGGAGAGACGAAAGAGGAGAGAAGAGTGGAGGAGAGAAAAGAGGAGGAGAAACGAGAGAGGAGAGAAAGAGAAGGAGAGAAAGAGGAGGAGAGAAAGAGGAGGAGAGAAAAGAGAGGAGAGAGAGAAAAGAGGAGGAGAAACGAGAGAGGAGAGAAAGAGAAGGAGAGAAAGAAAGAGGAGAGAAGAGTGGAGGAGAGAAAAGAGAGGAGAGAAGTGAGGAGGAGAGAAAGAGAAGAGAAAGAGGAGGAGGGAAGAGAGGAGGAGAGGAAAGAGGAGGAGAGAAGAGAGAGATTGACGATTAGAAACTAGCTGAGCTTTATGTTCACTTATCATTACAGGGGCGTACACAGGAATTTGTTTAGGGGGGCTTACATTTTTTTCCAGGGTGGGCTCAGCACCCGTTTGGGCCTGAAAACCCACTTGGAAGCCATAGGTTTAGTGGTCCAGGGGGAGGAGTTGTGCCTCCCCCCCCCCTCCTTGTGTTCTCCTCTACTTTTTAAAGATTAGTATTATTGATCTAATCAATTTTTGATAAAGGACTTCATATCGTCTGAGTAGATAAAGAATATAAAAAATGTTATGAAAAATCGGAAAGCAGTGTTAATTTACGACTGAAAGGCATAAGAAAATACAATATTAAGATTTATCGATTATAGATGATCACTTCTAAGAAGTCTATGAACTTTCTTCTTATTTAGGATGAAAAAATTATGAATAGATGGATTAATATACAGGGTGTCCCACGAAACATGAGAGTTGGTAAATAGTTATGAAAGTCGTCTTTCATATACTTTATTAGATATTAAAGGTTTTTTTGCAGTTTATTTCGAAAATCTTTTTCTGAAACATATTTTACTGTAACAAGACTCCCATATAGTATTTGTATTATTGTCTTTGGTATCAAACAACTTAACAAATTATGGAAGAAGACATTCTAAAATATTCACCAACTGTCATGTTTCGTGGGACACCCTGTAACTAAGGATATAAGAATGGAAAATTCCGCTATTTCTTCTGTCAGTTTACTGCAAATAACTGAAAATGGGTTGGATGGAAGGAAGATGGATCAGAGAGATGAAATAAGGATATAAAAATGGAAGGAAGAGGGAAGGATGGATATAAAGATAAATCTAAGGATGTAAGAATAAAAAGAAAGCGGGAAGGATGGATATATAGATAAATCTAAGGATATAAGGATAAAAGGAAGAGGGAAGGATGGATATAAAGATAAATCTAAGGATGTAAGGATAAAAGGAAGAAGGAAGAATGGATATATTTTCATAAATCTAAGGATATAAGGATAAAAGGAAGCGGGAAGGATGAATATAGAGAAAAATCTAAGGATATAAGGATAAAAGGAAAAAGGAAGAATGGATATATTTTCATAAATCTAAGGATATAAGGATAAAGGGAAGAGGGAAGGATGGATATAAAGATAATTCTAAGGATAAAAAAGGAGGAGGGAAGAATGGATATATAGATTAATCTAAGGTTATAGGATAAAAGGAAGAGGAAAGGATGGATATAAAGATAACTGTAAGGTTATAAGGATAAGAGGAAGAGGGAAGGATGGATATAAAGATAAATCTAAGGATATAAGGATAAAGTTAAGAGGGAAGGATGGATATAGAGATAAATATAAGGATATATTTAAGGATAAAATGAAGGATGGATATAATGATATAATAATGACAGGAAGATTGATGAATAGAGATGGATATTTAAACCTGAGATAAATAAAAGAGAAGATGATATATTGATCCTTTAATATTCCGAATGATCACTTTGTATAGATACTAGGAGCTCGGGACATATTAGCAACCTATGTACATCATAATTTATCTGAAATTGATTTACTCAAAGGGATTGTAAACATAACTTTAAGTGATCCTCCATTGATAGAGGGGCATGCTTGGTCAAAACTGAAGCTTTGTCTGATTAAGTATGGATTATATTTGCGTGCTCTTGTTTTGGAACCTAATTATTTTTATTGGCTGTTTTTTATCTACAACGGTGACTTGCGCATTTCCTGCTTCAGAAACAACTGAAAAATAATCAGAATTAAACATTTTTCTAGTTAGAATAATGATGTTATCTTCATTATTGTTCAGATTAAGGCGTTAAGGGTCCCGTTCTGAACCGGGCATGCCCCCCTTTAAGGGTCCCGTTCTGAACCGGGCATGCCCCCCTTTTTTAAATTAAACAATTTTAAATGAAATAAGTTTAAATTTTTTATAAGGAAAATTTAAAATTTCCGTATCTACCTCTCACTCATAAAAATCAGAGTAAAAAAAGGGCAAAGGCGAAGATTTATCCTTAAGGGTGTTTAACAAAAAATAAGAAAATTCGCAATTTTCAGCTCTGGTCTTATTCTTAAAGAAAAGTTGTTTTTCAATGGCTCTTCAGGTTTCAACTGAACAGCGTTTATTTAAAACTTAAGAATAAACTAAAAAGAAAGAAACTCGAGGATTTAAAGAACTTTTCCTTAAAAATTAGACCAGAACTGAAAATTGCGAATATTTTCTTATTGAAATTTTGCAAATTTTCTGTGATTCTGTAATTCAATCTTTATAAAATTCTAGAATTTAATAAAAATAATATATACATACACAGTTTTACTTTTCTGAACTTTTGATTTTGAGAGAAAAAAGGTTCGCGGATTTGTTTTGGCCAGAGTTGCAAGAAAAATAAAAAATTTCCAAAAAAAATATTGAAAAAACACCCCTAATCACACTTTTTTTTTGACTCACCCTGTACTTCTACAGTATACAATATACATCCCTGTAAAACTAGTCCATGTATTGTATCCTACATATGTAAACCTCCTACACAAGTTCCTCATGTTGTATAACTTCCTCATAGCGGTCCAAATAGATTAGAAGATAGATAGATAGAAATATATACAATAGATAGATAGACATAGATATATGCACATTACAGTGTTAAATATAGTAATAAGATGCAGAATAATTAGTTTTAGCATTAGATATTAGATATTAGATATTAGAAGATGAGACAGCAAATAAATCTAATTAAAGGATATCTGCTTATGAAAAACGATTATGCAAAACAAAGTATAGGTACTAAACAAATCTCCTATTCTTGAAAAATTAAAACTTAATATAATTCTGAGCAAACCAGCTTGACTCCTTGGCTTCAGTTAGAAAACTAGAAAGAATACTATATTAAATACTATACGGAATACAGTAATGAATTCTATAATGAACACTTTACTGAATACTGAATAGAATGAATACTAGAATGAATACTAGAATAAATGCTAAAATGAATACTAGAATGAATTGAATGAATACTAGAATAAATACTAGAATGAACACTAGAATGAATTCTAAAATAAATGCTATAATGAATACTTTACTGAATACTAAAAAGAATGAATACTAGAATGAATACTAGAATAAATGCTGAACTGAATACTGGAATGAATTAAATGAATACTATAATAAATACTAGAATGAACACTAGAATGAATACTAAAATGATTGCTATAGTGAAAACTAGAGTGAATGCTATAATAAATACTAGAATAAATGCTATAATGAAAACTAGACCGAATGCTATAGTGAATACTAGAATGAATGCTATAATGAATACTAGAATGAATCCTATAACGAATACCAGAATGAATGCTATAATAAATGCTAGAATGAATGCTATAATGAATACAAGAATGAATGCTATAACGAATACTAGAATGAATACTAAAATAAATGCTATAATGAATACTAGAATGAATACTAAAATAAATGCTATAATGAATACTAGAATGAATACTGGAATAAATACTAGAATGAATACTAGTATGAATAGTAGAATGAATACTATACTGAATACTACAATGAATGCTATAATGAATACGTGAATGAATACTAGCATGATTACTATACTGATTACCATAATGAATGCTGTAATGAATACTATAATGAATGCTGTAATGAATGCTAGGATGAATGCTAAAAGGAATTCTAGCATGAATACTAGAATGAATGCTATAATGAATACTAGAATGAAAATTCTATAATAAATACTAGCATTTAGACAGATGAAATGGTAGATAGATAGATAGATAGATAGATGGATAGATAGATAGATGGATAGATAGAAAGATAGATAGATAGATGGCTAAATACAGAGGATTGGTTGAGGAAGCCTTCCGTAATAAAATGACAAGCAACAGGTTTTATGAGATACATAGATAGGATAGATACATAGATAACGATATGTAGAATACAGAAGTAGATAAAATTCAGATATGGTATTTAATTTTTTTTATAAGTTTTAGATTGTTTTACGTCTGTTAGATGAATCCTTTACAGTGTAAATGGAAGAATCTGATGTATGCAGCATCAAAATAAAGAAAATATTGTTTTAGATCTAAATCTGGAATTTTTTCAAACACAACTTTTTTTAAAAAGAAATTCATATTAATGATTTTTTAGAAATCACATGTAATTAAGCAAGAATGCTCCAAATTTTACTATGGGTTAAAATTAAGATTAAAGGGTTTCAAGAGTACACAAAGTCGTATTAGTAATTCCGCATGATTTATACTAAAAACAGTGAATTTTATTTCATACTTCTAAATTTTAATTCTGTTGCGGAAACGATAAAGAAGGAAAACTGATTAAAAAAGAAAATCAGTTACAAAGTAGATGTACACGGTAATGCAAAAATATTCTATTTCTGTAAAAAACCGTTTACAATTTTTAGAATTGAACACGAACAGAGGGTCAACCCAGACCGAAATATATTTTCAATAAATGTGGAACTAACATCTACTTTTTTAATCTACAAAGGTTTGAAACTTTGGTCTATCACCATCACCGAATTTAAAACGAACAGAGTAATTGACTAAATGATGGATCAACCTGTGCCTGATCATTTAAAAGCAGAACACATTATTTTTTTTTTATGCAAAATAACATTTAAACTTTACTCAAGCTATAAATAATTTTTAAGAAATAAATAATTATACGCACCGGGGAATGGCGATCCTCTAAAATGGAAATAATTTACGTCAATGATGATCATTATTAATGTTGTTAAAATATAAAGTAAAAATAACTCTTGAAAACTGAAACACTAAAACATAAATAACAATTAAATATTGTAAGATATCTTTATGTCAAGTAAAAATAAACAGATTCTAAGGAGTTGAAATCTCCTTAAATTCAGAAAAAGATATGTTCAACTCCAGGCTGAATTACGATCTTCCAACCACCAAAATGGCAAATGTTTGGCTTTGAGAACTTTCTAAAATAAAAAAAAAACATGATTAACCCTGAATAAAGTTACGAAGAGAAATTGTTTGTTTACTGGTCATTTCATGTTAATTTCAGTTTGTTTTAGATAAAAATAGATTGAAAAAGGACATCAATGAGTGATATGAAAACATCAAAGTTATGTGCAATCCTTAAAGGGACAGTAAAGGAAAAATAAAAGGGGGTATAGGCTGAAAGCTAATCACTTTAGCTCTTGATCGCGACCCATGAAAGTTTTATCTGATGTTCCTGTCTCGAGAAATTGATATAAAACTGTGTTATAATTATACGAAAATTCATATATGTAAAACTTTGAAAATCTGAAACTTAAATCACGTGACCAGAACTATCACCAATGGCAGAACAGTATACTGGTCACGTGTCTCCGCCTGTATCACGTGACCACTTTACTGCACTGTCATTTGTGGAATTTCTGGTCAAGTAATACGGACGTAAAAATAATATTATGAATGAAATCTATTGAAAATAGAAACAAGAAATATAAAAGTAAACCTAAATTACAATTAGCTTTCTCTGGGATATCATCTTTTTCAGATTGGTTGCTGTTTTTCTGAGCATGGTCTGTTTAAACCAACTATTTCTATACGAAATTGTATATATATGCATTTTCGTACAAGTTTGAAACAGCTTTATATCAACTCTCGAGTTAGGAACTTCAGATAGGCGTCTCAAGGGTCTCGATGAAAAGCTAAAGTGATTAGCTTTTAGCCTATACCCCCTTTCATTTTTCCTTTACTGTCCCTTTAAGATTGGTAAATTTTTTCCTTTGAATTTACCATTTTTAGCCCCAGTATATAAAATTTGGCACTTAGTGTGTTTTTTTAGAAACACCCTTAATTGCCTTAAATTTTTGTATTTCCTTGTTGTCCCGCCTGAATGAACTGACAAGACGATTATGCAAGGAAGGAATGGGGTTGAATATACGCGTGTAGAGTCTTGCTGCCTTCAATAGGTCAGATAATAAGGAAGCTTAGTCTACTGCATTCAAACCAGGGAAGTTAGGAAAGGTATAGTGGTAGCAGGAAGTAAAGATAAATAGATAGATAGATAGATATTAGATATATATCAGATAGATAGATATATAATAAATATATATAGATAGATAAATAGATAGATAGATATTAGATAGATACATATATATTAGATAGATAGATATATAATAAATATATATAGATAGATAGATATTAGATAGATAGATATATAATGGGGATGGGGACATTCCACGCACTGAACAAATTTGGGCCAAAAATAGAAGGAAAGGGCGGGGGGCATTTCCTGGACTGGGCTCTGGCTCCTTTAATTCAGTTTAAAAAATAGATTATTTTCAATCCAATTTTATGCATAATTTCACTAGGGGGCTGAGACTGTTAATGTTAGAGAAAGAGAATTTCATCGCTTCTTGAATTAACTATATAAAAGAACGCGGAATATCTCAGAACCTGGACAAGATTGAACTGGATAAATTATCGCAGTACCTGGGAAGCTACATTCTTGAGAGAACTAAGGAGGATGGGGGAAATAATGGATACTACAACATTGCATGCCATTGGTAAGACCAATAGGAACCAGGGCAACCAAGGAAACCAGGGCAATCAGAGGGACCAGGGAAACCAGGGGAACCAGAGGAACCATGGTAACCAGGGGAACCAGGGGAACCAGGAGAACCAGGGGAACCAGGGGAACCAGGGGAACCAGGGGAACCAGGGGAACCAGGGGAACCAGGGGAACCAGGGGAATCAGAGGAACCAGGGAAACCAGGGCAATCAGAGGGATCAGGGGAACCTGAGGAACCATAGGTAACAAGGAGAACCAGGAGAACCAGGGAAACTAGGGCAGCCAGGGGGACCAAAGGAACCAGGGGAATCAGAGGAACCAATGGAACCAGGGGGACCGGGGGTATCAGAGGAACCAAGGGAACCAGGGGAACAGGGGGAACCAAGAACTAGAGGAACCAGGGAACCAGGGAAACCAAAGGAACCAGTGGAACCAGGGGAACCATGGAAACCAGGGGAACTAGGGGAACCAGGGCAACCAGGGGAACCATAGGGATCATGGGAACCAGGGGAGTCAGGGATACCAGAGGAACCAAGAGAACAAGGGGAACCAAAGGAACCTGTGGAACTAGGGGAACTAGAGGAACCCGTGGAACCAGGGGAACTAGGAGAACCAAGGGAACCAGGAACTAGAGGAACCAGGGGAATCAGGGGAATCAGGGGAACCAGGGAAACCAGATGAACCAGTGGAACCAGGGGAACCTGGGGAACCAGGAGACCCAGGGGACCCAGAGGACCAGGGGAACCAGGGGAACACAGGAGTTCATAGTAATCCTTTTTCAAAAAACTAAACTAAATGATTTATTTCGTCCCATTTTTAGGCTCGAGATTAAGTGTCACTGTGTCGGATATTCTCGGGTTTGACATGAATAAGCATCCTGACTTAAAGTCCTTTCAAGTTTCTTTGCAGACTAAACTAAAACTTTCCAAGCAAGCTTTTGGCAATGGATTGAACGCTCAGCAAGTAGAAGAGATTTCTTACTTTTATAGGTAAATATTTGTCAAATGTTAAAATACGTATCTTTTGCACATCCATGAGATGCATTTATTCATAAAGTGTTTACTAGGAGCCCTTGTTGAAGCCTTTACTGGTTCTCTGGCAATACATCCTGAAAACTACGGAAAATCCCTGACAAAGGATCTACCTCTAATCTAGTTAAACTGCCATGCCACGATGGGATCCTTGTGCGCATCTAACCAACATAAACCATCTAGCTTTGTGTTTAGAAATTTATGTTTTTTGATAGAATGATTATATGAATAAACTTTTAATTTTTATAACATTTTTGAAATCAACTATGATCCTTACATTTCACACGGATTTAACAGTTTGGTCCTGGTCAGTGTAAAAATTGTTGAATTTTAGACCAAAACTGTATTGAATTGTAATAAGAGAAATCGTCCTTGTTAGTCCAGGGTGATATTTTAGCAAACACCCAGACATTTGAAAAAAAACCATGCAATTAAAGAAAGTGAAAAAATTTTAAATTGTACGTTAGATAAAAATCTTCAAAAAACTGGATTAAGTTTCGAATTTGTTACCAGATAAATTTAACATCTCATATTTGAACACAAAATCATTTTTAAAGCAGCTAGGAGGACACAAAGTCTGTCTGTTTTTTATCCAATAAACGTCAAAACGGCTGAACCTATCAGGGGCCCGAATTGTGTGCTCACTGTGATTTAAAAGTCTCAAGCTTTCAAACAAAAATCGACGAAAATTATGCCAATTACTTCTTTAAAACCAAAAACTAACAACAAGTGGTTTATAGTGCAAAAATGTACATGAAAATGACTACAGAAAAGTAAATGAGAATTAGATATTAAAATCCAAGCCCGAGGCGCTGCAACACTTTAAAGTCGACCCTGTCTTAAAAATTGATGAGCCAATTAATAAGCAGGCTTAATCTAAGTGTGTATGTGACCTCACACAATCACAATCCAGAAATCCACTAACTTTTAAAATGATATTCCTATATTGTAATAATATTTATCCGATCAAGATAAATAGATACATCCAACCAGATAGATAGATCTAACTTTGACTCCCGTTCTTATATCTGTATATGTATCTATCTATATAATATATAGATAGATACATAGATAGATATATTATATAGATAGATAGATAGATAGATAGATAGATAGATAGATAGATATTAAATAGATAGATATACATATAAATATAGTATTTTCAACTTTTTTCAGTTTAAATATACATTTTAGATGTTTAAGTATATATTTCTTCCAAGACAAAATGTTTCATGGGTCTAACCCAATCATCAGTTGGAAAAAAACAAATGTATATAAATATGGATAAATAGACAGATAGATAAATTCTTCTAAATCTAACACTCTCAGACCCGTGAAACAAAAACTCTTTTTTTGCCAAAGGAATTGAGTCTTTTGAACAAAATCAAATGTTTAAACCCCAATATCTCTTGAACCCGATCTTGTAAACCTTTGTTTGATATTTCAAACTCAGATTATTTGAATTAAAAGAATTAATAGTTTGAAATATCTAAGGTCTACAACATTTGGTTCCAAAGATATAGTGATTAGAAAATTAGAGTTTGTGGCAAAGACTCAATTCCTTTTCGTTTTATTTAACCATCTTAAGGGCATATTCTTGCTTTAACTCGACAAAAGATTAACTGATAGATGGATAGATATAGAGAATAGATAGATAGATATTATTATTATTTTATCATATCTATTCTTTAGATGTTTTAGATAATCAGTTGGAAGAACAGTATGAGGAAAAAATGTACAATGATGGTTAACGAACGCTTTCTTTTGAGAGTGCCATCAATGATTCACAACGGTCGAAATTCGTACATAATGTGTATGTGATTTAAATAGTCAAACTTTGAAGAAGAGGTGGCACAGTACCCCCCCCCCCCATTTCCCATGAATATAAAAGAAGGAATTATTCTCCGAATTGTTAACTTAGAATTTTATTTCTGTAACGATCACTAAGTGCAAAGAATTAATAAATTTCCTCCCAAAATATGATATTACATGAGGTGGGGTTCCATACCTATACCGTCATACGATGGTGAGGGAGCAGCAGGGGGCATCCCACCCCAAAAAAATTATATATTTTACTTTCTCAATTTTAAACTGATTAATTTCTGGAAAGAATTTGAGATAGAAAATATTACTTTTTCAATTTTTAAATTCTGATCTTTTTACTGCTGCAGTATTTAACAGCGTTTTACAGGCCCGTAGGCCGTACCCAGGGGGTTGTCATGGTCAGGTCCACCCAACTTTTCTCCTAAAATAGGGGTGCAATGACGATCGTGCACCCCACTCATTTTTTAAATAAGTTGCTTGGTATATAATCTTCTCTTAAAGAATTGAGATATTAGCATTTAAAGTTTTCAAAATTTTAGTTATCATTCTGCATACTGTATTTAGTGTATGTATGTATGCAATGTAGAATTTCCAGAGAACGAAAACTTTAGCAAAAAATGCGAAAATTTTCGTTCGTATTTGCAATTTTTTTTTGCGAAAATGTATGAACGAAAAAATGCGAAATCGATTTATTTTCGCGAAAAATAATTTTGCGAAGACCATCAGCGTTGTAGGTAGCTGCAAAAATTAATTGCACAAAAACATGTGGAATTCTCTGCTCTGAGATCTCAGTATTAGAATTTTATTATATCATAATTAATAATTTCTATTCCTTTTTTATATATACGGGGTGTCCTACATCAAATTAGACCGCGTCAATGGGTCTAAAATACGATTTGGGGAACAAATCAGAAAATTTGAGAACAATGAATCATTTTGAAAAATTTGATAAGACTAATAGAAATTTATTTTGCAGAGAATACTAGATTTTTCGAGTATTATGTGCGTATTTTGGTGTTAAAGATTGGAGATAATCTAACATGATACGGGACGCTCTGTATATGTTTGATGAAGAGCATTTTTTTCTCGAAATTTTTGCATTTTTCCCCGCTAAATTTTCGCATTTGTTTTTTTCGCGAAACAGATTATAAAGAAAAATTTCGCGAAAATAGAGAAAATCTTCGATCAACTTTCGAGAGCTAACGAAATGCGAAAAAATGCGAAATTTTCGGCAAAAATTTGTTTTCCCTATATTCCCCCTTATCTGGGGAATCTAGGAGATTCTTAAAACGATATGGGCCCCCGAGATTTTTTCATGTATCATATACCCGGCCCAATTTTATTGCCACAGCCTCCTTTTCATTTCTCTAAATAACCCCATGACCATTACCAATGTTCTGTAAATATTCTTAACTCAAACTTTGGTTGAAATTCCTGAAAAACAAATCGAAATTATTTTTATTTAATTTTACCTATAGTTCTGATGTATTTGTAGTGCGGGTGATAAGGTATGTACTCTGACATCTGATATTTTCATGTCGTCTTTGTTTTTGTTTGCGTCAATGCGCAAATTCTCAAATATGCCGCAACTAATTCCCATTGTTGTAGTTTTTCTGAATTTTTAATTAATTTCATAAACCTCGTCTCCAAAATAATTACAGCTGGTCTTGCCTTCGTTTTAAGAAGTTAACATTTTCAATTTCCTGAAATACACTTCTTGGCCCCCGCCCCCTTCTCCTTCCAATTTTTGTATGTGTAAATGTTTATCTGATTATCTGTGTCCGTTCTCGACTCCTAGCCTGTTATGTTATACGATTTTTGGACCCCCCCCCCCATATGCCCTCCCGCTCCTATCAATTTTGTCAGGACAGACCTTGTATCAATTTTGTCGGGACAATCCTTCAACTTCAACCAATTTTAACAACAAATTAGTGTACATTTAGGGCTAGGTTAGGTTAAAATACTTTCTGGTCCGAGCACTCTGGCTAGGGGCCGAGTGCTGCGGCTAGGACTAGCTATGGGGCCGAGCGCTATGGCTAGGGCAGGTTAGGTCGCCGGTCACTGGGGCCCAATATGAGAGCTTGTACAAAATTGATAGTAAGGGGGGGGGGAGGGGGTTCGGCCCAGTAACACAATAACCTTAAAATTGAGAAAATTTTAAGGTTAATATGGGGAATCACGCGCTTTAGGACGATCCTCAAAGTTTGCATGCTCTGTTGCAAAAATATATAGTTGTCTCTGATAACTGCAAAATATTAAAAGTTAAAAATTTATATTTTTTTAGAAAAGAAAGATGGGGGACTCAGATTCCCTGTCTTTCAATCAAATTCAAGGAACCCAGACAATTTCATTATTATTTGAATATTTTGTATTTCATAATCGTTTTTCAACCGTTTTGTTCAATATTCTTTAATTTTACTATCTTAAAATTCGTTTTCTTGGAATTAACAATTCTTTCATTTGCATCAAGGCGTAATATTTGAAATTGTTTGTTATTTAGACAACAGCGATGATCTTGGAGCTTTAGGTTAGTATGATCAAAATCAATTAGTTGAATTATATATAGATATCAGTGTTTAGGATCCGGGTCCGTTGGATCCGCAAGATTTTGGCTTCCTGGATCGAAAAAAAAATAAAACAAAAAATTTGAAAATTATTTATTGTTTAAAAAATTCGGTAAATTCGGTAAATTCGGAAATGACCTGGATCCGGATGCGCATCAAAATTAAATGGATCCTAAGCACTGATAAATATATTATACATTATAAAGTAAAGGGTTCTAGGCGCTTTGTGTCAAAGAAAAAAATTTAAGGGAGCCTCCGGCTAAATAGTGGAGGGGGGGGGACTGCTATGATTTAAGGGAGCCTCCGGCTAAATAGTGGAGGGGGGGACCCCCTGACTGCTATGATTTAAGGGAGCCTCCGGCTAAATAGTGGAGGGGGGGGGGACTGCTATGATTTAAGGGAGCCTCCGGCTAAATAGTGGAGGGGGGACCCCCTGACTGCTATGATTTAAGGGAGCCTCCGGCTAAATAGTGGAGGGGGGACCCCCTGACTGCTATGATTTAAGGGAGCCTCCGGCTAAATAGTGGAGGGGGGGACCCCCTGACTGCTATGATTTAAGGGAGCCTCCGGCTAAATAGTGGAGGGAGGGACCCCCTGACTGCTATGATTTGCTATACATGCCCGATTCGATAGACATTTTCTAGCTGTGATCTAGCTGCGACTTCCTTTCCTATCTAGACTGGGAAATCGGCGCTAAATCATAGCTAGAGAATGATTCCCGAATCAGATAACAGTGCCCACCCTCCAATATATAGTATAATCTATAAAAACGTTGGTTCGACACTGTATAGCAAATCTTGAAGGTTCATGGTGGCCGTGGTCTGAAGGCTCCCTCCCCAGTAAGAATGGCGTTGTTAAGATGAAAGCGTAATATAGTAAATTATGATTTTTAAGTAAACAAAATAAAAAAAAATAATTTTGTGTCAACAAACAGATTGCATTAAAAATTACAAGGAACTCTCATTTAATGTAATAAAAGAGAACAATATTTTACCTTTTGTCAAGATTAGTAAACACTATATTCTTTAGGACGAAAAGATTGCAATAGAAAGATAGGTGTGCATTGTGTATGTTTAGAAGTTATAGATGAATTTGTTTAAATAGAAGAAACAGATAAATGTGTTTGTTTAGAAGAAACAGATGAATGTGTTTGTTTAGAAGTGTTTGTTTAGAATAAACAGATGAGTGTGTTTGTTTAGAATAAACAGATGAATGTGTTTGTTTAGAAGAAACAGATGAATGTGTTTGTTTAGAAGAAACAGATGAATGTGTTTGTTTAGAAGAAACAGATGAATGTGTTTGTTTAGAATAAACAGATGAATATGTTTGTTTAAAAGAAACAGATGAATGTGTTTGTTTAGAAGAAACAGATGAATGTGTTTGTTGCTGCGAGGTACTAGAAGACTCACTTCTGCTCACATGTCTCCATTCTATTTGCAGGTATTTATTTTAAATACATTTTTATCTTATTTATTAACATTTCAAACGAATTATTAATTTAATTGGCGTTGAATTTCCTCTCCTCTCTGCAAAGAAAATTTATAGTTTATTCCTGAATGCGCCCCTGGCCAATTTACTAATTATTTTATTTCAGGAGTTGTGTGGACAGCCAGACTACAGATCATATCAAATGTCCAAGGTAAACTAACTTCCCTAATGAGAAATATACATCAACTAGCCTTATAGGGCGCTTCGCGCCCATCTTCTAAATTAATTGTGAACATGTTCTCTTTGTGTACATCGTAAAACAAAACAAAATTAATTCGCGGATTTTCACAAAAATTTCGTGGATTTTCAAAATTTTCAAAAATTTAATGAAGATCGAATTTTGATGGAGACAAATATTTGAAATTTTGATTATTCATAAACCTTCCCTGTGGTCACGTGATGTCCCACAAAAAATTTGGGCCCGATCGGTTCAGCCGTTTTGACGTTTATTGGATACAAACAAACAAACAAACAAACAAACAGACAAACAGACAGACAAGCCAAATTTATATATAGAAGTAGAATTGCATCTCTTGTTTTAGATCCAGAGACACTTTTTATTTCACAATTCTCTTCATAAATTTTATTAATTAATTAGTTAGAAGTTTTAATACAAGTTCTTAAAGAGGACTGTTGACGTAATTTAAAGTTAACGAGGGGCATGTCCAAATAATTACAGTTCCTTTTAAACCTTTGTCTGAGGAACAATGATGGAGTTTGATATTGAGGGTCACTTGAGGTTACGTAGACAGTCCCTTTTAAGTCATTCCTATTAATAAATCAATACTGTAATTTTTATCTATATAACCAAAATGACATTTAAGATGCCGTTCTACAAGTTCCTGTCACAATCTCGTCAAGGATTATCTTCACAGTGTTGATCCTCCCCAGCCCAGGCACTGGGATTCACAGGATACGGTTGGTTTTTATAATATACCAGCTTACCAGCTGAATTGCCCGGCGTTGCCCGTGAAATAAATTTTTTAAAGTCTGTGGTAGTTACCCCCAATTATACCCAGTACTCACTATGGTACTCAAAAAGTTCCAGACAATTTTCAGAGTTTTTCAAAGTCTTTTTAGAATTTAACAGGCAACGCTTATAAGGGAAATAATGCTAAATACAGCGGCAGATTAACAAAAATGGAAAGGAAACAAATAAAAAATCCAAAGTAGAAGAAAAAAGATTAAAAATAATAAAAAATATTATGATTATTAATTAACTATAAACGTTAAAGATTTAAGAGCTAAAATGCTAAAATATTATTTTGATGATTTTCTTAAAGATATTAAGGAAGAGGATTAGGAAAAAGATGTGTATTTACAGGTTGTCGAGATGACCGGAATCATATCCCGGGGTCGGGAGAGGATTGAAGCTTGTAACGAGAATATTAACAAACTCACCAATAATCTCGGGTTAGTCACTAATTTATTATAATTAGTTAACTAGTTAATTACTATTTATTTTTACACCAGAATCGAAGCTGAGATTGGAATAATATTAACCCTAGTAAAACCCTTCACTAACGCCCCTAGGCCCAAGTAAAGTCCTAGTAATGAACTGGGTTTAATCTAGACCCGGTTTATGTTTAATCCCAATCTGAAGTCAGAACTTCTATTTTGTGAATCTCGGGATCAAGCATCTCTGTTTTCCTACGGAATTTAATTCCTTTTCGAGATCCTGCGGTGGTCGTATTCCTATAGGAATACCTACTCTTGAGGGAATAAGCATTGAATCACTTTTTGCATAGAAAGCATTGACTTTATCTAAAAAGTAAAAGCATATTATTTTATTATGTTTATGTCTATCTGGATTTTTGGCAATATTCTAAAATTCAGAAAGGGATTTTGTAGCTAATTCGTTGTCATTTGCGAATTTTTCTCACAAGGGTTTAAATTTTTCAAAAACTCGTTCTTAGTATGAGCGGACTTACATTTGAAAAATTCCTACTCCATGCTTTAAAAAGGTATTTTAAAGTAAAATTTTGAAAAATGTTAAATATAAATATGATTAAAGGGAGCTTCATGAGGAGAGGGAGAAGATGAAACAGCAGATTGAAGACACATACAAGATCTTTAGGTATTTTTTAAATATGGCGATCAAACCCATCTCTATATACATCGCGTTCGATCAGAAAAAATCTTCCTAAGATTATCATTGTACTGATAATGAAGGAATTTTTTTTATAGCGAACACAGGATTTTTCGGCGCGTCGTAGCGAAATAATTTCTCTTGCAAATAATGATATACTTATTTGTTTAATGTTTAGTTCTGTTGAAAACTGTTCATATTGTTCAGTTCTGTTGAAAATAACTTATATCGCTAGAGCTTGGGACAAAATAAAATCTGATACAGAAAATCTAGATAAACAAAAAGGAATAAAATCGTTGCCACAAACTTTGATTTTCTAATCCCTAAATCTTTCCAACCCAATGTCTGGACCATAGATATTTCAAACTATGAATTCTGTTAGATCACGAAGTGAAAAATATCAAAGATTTACACCATCACAGATTGCAAAAATTCCAGTTTGTGGAAAGACTGAATTTTTTTCTGTCCAAAATCTTCATAGCACTGCAAACCAAAATAATAAATAGTTAATATTGTTAAGTTCTGTGCTTGAGAGGAGAAGAGAAGAGAGTATGTTACAGTTAGAGAATATATTCAATGACAGGGAACTCTCAACTATGGACCAGCTTGAAGATCTTAACTTATCCCAGGTAACGAATATTCTCCTCGAATATATTCGGACTTCGCAACTTTTCTATTGTTAATCCCTGAAGAAAGCAATACTCCTTAAATTTTTTGATCTGAAGGCATGTGAGATTAAACGGATTAACATTAATCACTTCATATTAAAAGTTGCCAGGTTGGATATCGAGCCGACCAGGCGTTGTAGATTAGCGCCGTATGAAACAAAGTTCAAACCAGAGAATAGAATATATATTAGATTGGAATTTAGGCAATCCCTCGGTATGAATTCTTCAGTCCCTTTCAGCCTGAAAGGGAGTTCAAAGTGTACAAATCATGTAAATGTTCACAAATTATATGCAGTAGAGTCCATTAATACAGTATGTTACCTAGACTATCCATTTCAATTTCGAATTTTTTAAAACTTTATAAAATTAATTAAGTGAATAAAAAACATCATTTGATTTATAGTTATAACGGAAAATCATCGTTTGTAAAGTGAAAGGCAAAGAGTCTATTTGAAATGGTCATAGGTCAATTATGAAACCAGCCTATTTCATAATTTGGTTTTCTTTTAATATTAATTTGAGATTTTCTATAAAATGATGTTCCAGGGCCCAAAAGGTTATATAGTAAAAATATGTGAAATACACCTGCAGTATGGAAACAGTACAACAAAATGGCCGTTTTACACTTTTTTCTATTAAATTACCCTCTAATATATATTCTATTCTCTTTGGTTCAAACCCATGACGGAATTTAGAGAAAAATAGAAATAGACAGGGGTGTATATTTTTATCATTCCCCCCCCCCCTGTTTTAATCCCAGTAGTAATGTATGTTTAGTATTTTTGTCAGTGTTGGGTGTAAAGTATCAAAACAAATGAAAAAACTAAAAAACTTTGAAGTAAGGACTACGGATGTACAGTGTTACCCACCAAGGATTAGACTGTAAAGACGACTGGAAATATGACGATACACGTTTAAATCAAGTCTTCTCCCTTAAATGAGGTCTTTAAATGGCATATATAATGATTTGGCAAACCAAGAATTAAGTTTATAGTTGCAGGGAATCACATGAGCATAAAGAAACAGACAGTATAAATTTTGTACAGTCGTCTCTGAAGTCTCATCCTTAGTTGGTAACCTAGTATATAAAACAAAGCTGTAAAAGGTTTGAACACAAGGTAAATATATCCTATTAATTCAGGCGCATTTGGAGCACACTATTCAATACGTATCCAGAGTTATATCTGAGTTCCCAGATACCGAAGCTAGATCTATTCTTCCAATGGTAAATATAAATATTGTTTCTTCATTTCTCTCTGCTTTATCTGAACTCATTTAATTTTGTCATTTTCTCATTCATTTTCTTCTCGATATTTGACATGTGTTCAAGAAAATATAATGCTGTTAATTCTAAAAAATTGTCATATTTTTAAGGAAATTTTCCTTGTTTAAAAATTCTGGGGGGGGAATAGAATTTGTACCTGGCTTGCCATTTAAAGCCTTTTCACTGAAATTGTGACGGATTGATTGATTGATTGATTGATTGATTGATTAGGCCAAGGTTCAACTGGAGTCGAATATGCGGGTACTGGATACACTGTCTAGACAGGATAAACCTGCTCAGACACTTGTCTGTAAATCTGATCTCAAACTCTTTCAGAAGGTAACTTTTGTTTGTTTCTTTGTATCCAATAAACGATAAAAACCGATCAGACCATTTTTTGTGGTAACACATGATATACATTGTTTCAATATGCAACAAAAAGATAATATTTTTACCAGAAATATCACATAAATTTCACTAAAAAGGGATGGTTCATTTTGTGCAATTTTGTGTACTGTCTCGTTTTGCCTGATATTCAATATTTCCACTGATTTGTAAACATAGATAGATAATTCATATTGATCTATGGTTTATAGACGAAAACCGTCTTCTGTTTCTAGCTGGGGTATTTAGTTTTAAGATTTAGCAACGTGCAAACAAACCTAACTTGTCCGCTTATAGTTGATAAAGGTCTTGTCAGAAACATTAAATTAACTAATAACATACGCGTAACCGTACAAAATGTTTTTTTTTTCGATTTCCACTCCCAACATAATTTTTGGATTAAATATCAGACTGCAATTGTTTTTTGTAGGGTTTTCAAAGATATAATGAAACTAGCTTTTTGCACATAAGATCATTTTGAAACATTTTTGGTCGGTTTTACAGTCAATCTTGTCTTGAAAATTCATCTGAATTTACATATTGATTAAAGAGGCAAGAGGAGGTTGAATGTTTTTTAAATTTAAACATCTGTACTTTAGGCTGTAAGGGATAGTTTTGGCAGTTTTGGAAACTATGATGATTCCAGTGTCTCAGCTGAAAACCTAGGTTAAGAGAAATTTATTTATTATTTATTATTTATTATTTATTATTTATTATTTATTATTTATTATTTATTATTTATTATTTATTATTTATTATTTATTATTTATTCCTCGAAGGAACTGATCACTCGCCTCGAACTCGAACTTTCTAATCTATTATCTTTGCAACCTGATGGTGTAAACATTCATTAACTCAATCATTGAATATATCTGATCTAGCAGAATTTACAGTTTATTTTGTTAAAGGTCCATAACATTAGGTTGCAAAGATATAAGGATTTGAAGTTGAGCCAAGTAATGTGTTTCGTCTAATCAAAACTTAAAATTAATAAAGAGAATAGAAAAGTTTATTTTATTTTAGTTATTCCGGAAATTGCTCAAAGAAATGTGATAAACTCAAGATCTACTCACACCAAGGTAATATTTCGTCAATTGCGTTATCACTCTGGGCCGTAGTAAATTTGAATTCGAACAAGACCTGCCCAGTTTGTACCGGCCTGCCGAATAACAGCGTGTACTGACCCGATCCTATGGTACAGTACGTAGCCCTAACCAGACTAACATACGACAGGGGTCAATTTTCTTGACAAAGTCCCGTCGGAGGGCTAACTATGACAATTCCCATGGCGCGTTCAGACTTTTTACAGTACTCGGCCTAATCCTAGGCCTATTTGACCGACCCCACTGGCTTAGTCCACCGTGTTATATGTAAAAATAAGAGGTCTTTTTTCTGATGACCGTCGTTTTTAAATGTTATACCCCGCTTTTGACCAATATGATCCCCCAACAGAAGGAGGTTAAGTTACTTAACATCCCTTACGACGGTTATGTAAAATAACCACTACCTCTGAAGAAGTTTTAAGGAAAAAATTCTCGCATTTTCATCTCAAAAGACGATAAAATTGTGTACAATTACTTTTTCGGGAAACCAAAACTTTAACGGGTTCACTCGACCAAATCATTCTTTGCTGCGATCTGGATGTTTTGTAGGAAAAATTAGTCTTGAACTCTCAGTAAAGTATAATTCCCTTAACTTTCCTGTACAGTAAGTTGTGAATTATTACAAATTACAATATGCTTCATATTTGTGAAGATATTTCTCCTCTTTTGATGTATCACTATAAACTTTGTGAAAATGATTACTTTGTATCACTGGTCATTCACTATTATCTTTCAATATTTTAACGATACTTACGATTAAGTTATACTTTCTTACTACGCTTAATGTTATAATTTACTCTTTCACATATTAAAAAAAATTCGAGTTCTAAATCTCTAGATGATTGTTCCAGGGTTAAATGCTTTGGTTTTAAGCAAAAAAAAGCTAGAAGTAATTTATTTACAAAATGGAACAAGAAAATACAAAATATTTTGTTAGATGAGGAAATATTTTGAAAACCTTCCGAAAAAGTTTGTGGGAATAATATTTCCCCCATTCTAAAAAAAGTTACATATCTATTTTTTATCGAACGTATCTAGGCGATCACAAACATGGATCGGAGCAGGATGCTCCCCACCTCTACCGATCTTTTATCCCCTCAAGGAGGAGATCAGGGGTTTGTGTCTCCTGGAGATCATCTCCTGTCCCCTCTAGGGGATCATCAGGGTCTCCTTTCCCTCGGTAAACCTGGTCTATCTCTCCAGGTAAACAAAATTATAGAATTTATACTTTTTGTCAACTTTAGACTTTTGACACAAAATGCAGTTACAATTTGGATTTGAGAGTCGTTGTCTTGTCAAAAAGTTCAGGCAATTAATGCAAATTGTTACTTATTTGTTTGTTTAGGTTCCCTCTTACTCTGGGCAGCATGGCAGTCTTTCAGTTCCTGTCGGGTCTCCTAGGTAAGTTCTGTCAACTAAAGGAGCATAAGGAAGTGTAATCTAATCGACTCGTGTTTATTTGAATTTGTACTTTAACAGTTCTACTGTTAGGAAATGAACACTCGCTACAAACTAAATTGTTCAAATCCTTACAGACAATTTGATTTAACAGAATAGAATGTTTACGACATTAGGTTGCCAAGATATATCGTAGCATTGTATCATTATTGAAGTGACGCGTTTTTTACCATAAACATAACCTAACTTTATGATTTTTCTAGAGGTCCTAGTCCCCGGTCTCACGGACCAATAGGATCCAATCTATCTAGTCCTTCTCACCACGGGTACTCCAGGTTAGACAAACTTCCTTTCAATCCAAGATTTAAATTCTGAAAAATACCCTTTTTCAGAGACCTTGTGTCCTTAAAATCTCAAATAATCTCTTCGAATATATGTCAACTGGAACAACAAAACTTAAATTTAAAATTCCCAACAAAATTTATCCATTCATTCATTTTCCTCAAAAAGGCAATGTAAAATTTATGATCACAAGAAAGAAACATGAAAAGAGGAATGGGGGGGGGGGCCGAGAAACTTTATCCTAATATGTAAAAAATAACCTTCATCTAGTGGTCGAATGGGAAACTCTCATCCTGACTTGAGCTATGCAGCGCATACTCCTCCCCTTTACGGTAGAGGACACACCCCTCCCCTTCAAGGTTCAGGACACACCCCACCACTCATCACCCAGGATACAACACATAGAAACGATTTCAGGTTTGAACTTTTAGGTCTTGTTTTAATAAGTGATAAGATTCCAAGTTTTAATATATATATATTTATGGTTGAGATAAAAAATTTAAAATTTGTATGGTGGCTATGATCAGCATTCATATCCACTGGATTCGCAATATTTAGCTCCCTTCTCATAATTATGTGCTAACAAAAACGAAAGATCTGAAACAATACCATCATTTCTCATTTGGAAATAATGAACAAAAAAAAGAATTTTGGGATTTTGCTTCAAGAAAAAAATGAAAAATTGAAGAATATTTATTAGTTGGATGCGGAACCGATTAAGATACGAATCTGCATCAACATTTTATGGATCATAAGCAGTAAGCACTGATGAGAATGTGAACTTCAAAGGTCCACAAGAAAAAGCTTTAAAATTAGAAAAATTAAGATGTCAAACTTTAATTTAATAAGACTTTGTACGAGGGAAGTAAGTTAGACACCAAATGGACGATCTTCTTCAATTTTAAAGATAACTTTACTTGATAACTTTTTAAATTTAAGGAGATCGACCATTTGGTATCGTAACTTATTTTTTGAGAAAGAAGAATTTATTGATTTTACATTTTGTGTGGGTTAAGTTATAAATGGGAATAAGACAGAAGAAGAATGCATAAAGGAACAATGATACAAAACAGGAGTGCATGCTAATGGTACAGTTTAAATGCTAGATGGTGTGGTGAAGGTGGTGACGGGCATCAAGATATAGTTAATATGTGTAAAGTTGGTCTGACTTATCAAAGATCATGAGATTGGTTGATTTTATCTGAGATAAATCAGGGGTCGGAATTTTTGAACTTTGAGAAGTAGTTTTTCCAGATATGGTCAATTTAGCTACATAATCTTAGTTAAGTTTGAACTGCTTTGACAAGGAATAGATATTGCATGCTGACTAAAGCTTAGCTGACCTAGGGGGAAAGGACCAATGATTTTTGGACCTGAGGCAGCAATTTGATTAATTCAGGGAAACTAGACTCAAGAGTAAGATGCCATTTGGTCGACCCCTTAAAAGAAGTTGGGACTAATTTTTCTAAGGGTTGGGTCTAAGTTTAGATCAGTAATTATGCAACTTAAACAAAGCTCACAAAGTCTGATGCCTATACCTTTAAATATTAAGTAAAGACTTAGGAATTTAGACTGGAAACTAAGCTTTTAAAACGTGGTTGCTGGGGTTGTAGAAAATTTGAGTTAAAGCGGTTTGGGAGCAAAGAAATCACATCTTATCAAGTCGGATATCCTATTGGATAGTTCCCTCTAGGTCAGTTTCCATGGCAGCTGAATGAGACCTGGAGTTCAGGTGATTAAATATATATTCAGTTTGGCAGAGCTGGCGGATAAAATTAATCGTTCAAACTCTGGTCCTTCGCATCATAACTTTACTCTAGCTGAACTTATCTCTAATGTAGCAGAGGTATTTATATGGTTATTCAGTTTACAGTATTTCGAACCAATGAGTGTGAAAGAAGGATGAGGTGATGTCATTTACTCTGAATCTTGGTGGAGTGCTTGATAAATATATTTATTTAAGCCATAAGATTTTTGATGAAACAGGCATAAAAAATTGAGAGAAGAATTATATAAAGATTTAAGAAATATACATACATTGCTTACAAAAAGAAGTTTTTCAAAAAGCAAATATTTTTTGTAAAGTTAGATTTTCAAGATTTTCAAAAGAAATGTTATTTCAACCAAAAAGGCTTTAATTATTTTACTTCTTTCATGAGTTCACATTTATAAGATTATATTTTTTCACAAATTTTTAAATATGTCAAATTTTGCAGCCATTTAATTCCAATCCCTTGGGGAAAATATTTTTCCTGTAAAATTTAGATATTTTTCTGTTTTGATATAAGTGGCGTTTACAAGTTTAGCCGAATATCTAACAGTCCCAATCATACTCCTTGGGAATATCCCATTTATTATTTTTTAATAAAACAAATTCTTGCTTTGTCCTAGTTCATGACAGGAAAATGTATTAAACCCTTCAACCCAATCCTCTCTCTACTTATTTCACTCTCATTGTTGTTACACTCAACATGGAACATTGTACAGTACTGTAGGATTAGTTCTTTTAACACTCTTTTGGACAAATTGATATTTTTAAGAAATATTTGAGCAAATTTGGTTTTGGCTGAACAGAAGTGATTTTAAGGTTATAAAATTTGATCAAACAGAGTCCGAATTTAATGAATTTGAGCCCCGTCTCAAATCCGCCAAAAACAGGTTTCAATTGAGCGCCGGCTTAAATCTTGAAACATTGAATACAATTTTAAGTGGAACCAACCATATTTGAGCCTCTTTTTGGTCTCTTCTGAATTTGACCTGTAACGTTTCAAAAAAATAGAAAATAAAAAGTCGGAATCCAACAAAAGAAAATAATGTAAATTGCTCAAATATTTCTAATGAATAATGCAACCATTTCTTGCTATCATAAAATATGCATGATAATTATGTTTTCCCCTTCTCTATCATTTTCCTATGTTTCGCATGTTTATAAACAGTTAAATTATAAATGATATCCAAAAATTCTTAAAAATTAAAAGAAAAAAAGAAAATCTTTTGAAATACCAGTTTAAAAAAGAAATGGCTTTCCTTTCAGAACCCTATACAAATCAAAATTTATCCTCATCAATATTACCACTCATCAATGAAATTATACCCTTATATATTAATTTCATCCCTGTTCAATAATATTAATCTATTAATTAATTAAAATATTAATTTTTGCCACCCCTGATTGGTAATATTAAACGCTGTTCATGAGCCTTGATAAATAATATTAGAAACTTATTTATCAATAACACTTCGGGGTTCCAATTGGAATTCCGTTGCGCGCAATTGCATGGTTGCTACCGCTAGGCCATTTGATTGCGTGCAATTGCGCTATAATTGCCAAGAAGGACGCAATGAAATATTCGCGGAATTGCGTGCAACGGAATTGCTTTTCCATCTAAAAATCAATTATTTTAACTGTGATTTACAAAGTTATGCAGCAGATACTTAAGAATGGAAATATCTCTAGATTTAAAAATAATTGAGTCCCGAGTGTCACTTGTTTCAAGAGTTTTCGAATTTTAAATTTTCTTGTGGTTAAGCTACTAATTGATAATTTAATATGATACATTATTATTTGCTCACGTTAGATGAACACTAAAATGGAAACTTTTTTTTGCTAAAACAAAATTAGATATTTTGCTACAGTACATTTGATGTCGTTACAAAGCAATAAAATTATTTAGTAACTTATTAAATCACTTATTCAGTTTCATGGATCTGCTTAAGTCTAAAATGTCGTCTTCTTATCCCAGAGTTTTCTGGTTATCATGCTGCATATGAATATTAAAAACAAAAGATTAAATTTAAATTCAATTTTCTTAGCATTTGAGACTGAAATATTAGTGAAGTTCTGTTTATTGTATGCCACTACTAAAGTTTAAATTGATTTTTTTTCTTGAACGAAATTGCGCAATAATTAATCGCATTTATTGCGCGCCATAAGGTTTAACTTGAATATTATAAACAAATTAAGGCACAAACGCAAGAAAGTTGGACAGAATTGCGCGCAATTCCGTTGCGTTTATTGTGCACAATTATTACGGAATTGCGCGTTGGAAACCCTAATAACACTACTGGTTACTGATCATCAATATTAAACCCTGATCAAGTAATGTTACCCGTGATCATAAATAAACACTTTTCAATCAATATCACCTCAGAGATGGAATTTAAAGAATTTGAGCCGCGGTTTAAATCCGCCAAAATCCGCCAAAACCCGGTTTAAATTTAGCGCCGGCTTAAATCTTGAAACATTTGATACAATTTTAAGTGGAACCAACCATATTTAAACCGCGGCTTAAATTTAAACCGACGCTTAAATTCTTTAAATTCGGCCACTGATCATAAAAAAATACTTATCATTCAATATCACCTCTGGTCCTAAATATCTAACACTAATCAATCTATGTCACCCCCTGATGATAATGTTTAAAACTGATCAATCTGAATATTTACCTAGAACCCGAATAAGGACTGGGATGGAGCACCAACTCCCAGTCAAGCATATTCCAATCTAGCAGCTCTAGCCAAGCTTGATGAGATGCAGGTAATCATTAATCAAGCATATTCCAACCTAGCAGCTTTAGTCAACCTTGATGAGATGCACGTAATTATTAATCAAGCATATTCCAATCTAGCAGCTCTAGCCAAGCTTGATGAGATGCAGGTAATCATTAATCAAGCATATTCCAATCTAACAGCTTTACTCAACCTTGATGAGATGCAGGTAATCATTAGTCAAGCTTAATGAGATACAGGTAATCAATAGTTAAGAATATCTCAACCTAGCAGCTTTAGTCAAGCTTGATAAGATGCAGGTAATCAATAGTCAAGCTTGATGAGATACAGGTAATCAATAGTTAAGAATATCTCAACCTAGATGAGATACAGGTAATCAATAGTTAAGAATATCTCAACCTAGCAGCTTTAGTCAAGCTTGATAAGATGCAGGTAATCAATAGTTAAGAATATCTCAACCTATCAGCTTTAGGCAAGCTTAATGAGATGCAGGTAATCAATAGTTAAGAATATCTCAACCTAGCAGCTTTTGTCAAGCTTAATGAGATGCAGGTAATCAATAGTTAAGAATATCACAACCTAGCAGCTTTAGTCAAGCTTAATGAGATGCTGGTAATCAATAGTTAAGAATATCCCAACCTAGCAGCTTTAGTCAAGCTTAATGAGATGCAGGTAATCAATAGTTAAGAATATCACAACCTAGCAGCTTTAGTCAAGCTTAATGAGATACAGGTAATCAACAGTCAAGAAAATTCCAACTTAGCAGCTTTAGTCAAGCTTGATGAGATGCAGGTAATCAATAGTTAAGAATATTACAACTTAGTAGCTTTAGTCAAGCTTGATAAGATGCCTGCGGTAATCCAGGCAAAGAAACTTTATGCTAAGCATAATTCAGTCAGTTATACTTTTAAGACAAAATGATTTTTGTAGGTTTTTTAGGGGCAAAGGGGAAAATAAATTGGACAGCATGTTGGCAAGTTTTTTCTTTACCGAACCCAAAATTAATTTGTGATATTGCTCCCCACAAACGAGTAAAAAATTTCAGGGATGATTATTAAAAAATATTTACCCCGCTCGTAAACCTTTTATTTTCTGGGCATATGTAATCTATGTTTAAATATAAAAAAAAAATTAAAGAGACTTATTTTGGTTTTTATTGAATATTTGTAGGATAAGTCTGGAAACTGGTCTAGTGTAGACCACAACCTTCTACTCCCAGACCTAGAGAGATCTTCTTTATCAAGATCTATGTCAGCTCTCACAAGGAAAACTTGAGTCAACATTCAATATTTTTAGATGAAGAAGTTTCTTGAATGCAATTCTTATTTGAAAAATAAATGGCAGCTTAAACTTTTTTTGTAAAGATGAAACAGTTTTCTATATTCTGAAGAATATTCTTGACTCGTGTATTTTAGTGGACAGCTCTCACCTATACCCCTGAGAGCACAGGGATCTCCTAGTCCTTATGGTCTTAACATTCCGGGACTAGATCATAGAGGAGTCTCTCCAATTTCTCCAATAGGTAATCGTTTTACTTTCCTGCTCCTACCTTTTAACATGGTCCAAACTGTAAATATTTGACTCTTCAGTCTTCGATTAATTTCGTGTTATTTTACTCGATAGGAAAAAAATAGAAGTGTCAGATATAAGGGATTTTCTTTACCAATAAGAACACAGAAATCCGCTAAAAGATTGTTTTTTTATCCTTCACTTCAAATAAGGTTTAAAGGTTTATTGATGTTTGTTCGTGTTTGGATATTTGTCACTATTTGAGCAGCTTTTTTAAGGCCTGGAATTGAAGAGTAGAAGAGAAGAACTATGAGTGTAAAAAATATGATCATAAATTAATTGTTGAATTAATCTAGATGGTATGATGCCCTCAATGCCTGGAGCACCAGGCAGTCCTTTCCCTCCTATCCGAGGCAACAGATCGGTAAGCTTATTAAATCTTTAGCATAAGAATATTAGGAATATCTGCATATATTATGAAATCACAAAGTATCTTTTAAAAATATCATATTTTACTGAATCTCTTAAGAAGTGGAATTAATTAATATGGTACTTCAGCGTGTAATGTGTATTGTGTATGTTAAGAATTATTTATCGAAAATTATCATCAATCATTTAGGGATCATAAATCATCATCAATCCTTTTTATTTCCGATTAATTTTAAACTTCTTAAAGGTCTTAACCCTAAATTTTAACATTATCGGTAAACGCTGAAAATGATTTTGTGCTTTGCCTAAATAAGTTTTTGGAAATAGGTATTTCCAAGATAACCCTAAAAAAATTCCTTCCCAACATATTAAAAACTTGCAGATTGCAGAGGGTAATACTTTTAATGAAAACGTGCAATATATTTCTATATAATAAAGCTCTTCACTCATATATATATATATATATATATACCATAGGATACAGGTTTCATGGTTTACTAATATATTGGAGATTATATAGTAGTAGATACAATCTACCATAGGATACAGGTTTGATGGTTAACTAATATATTGGAGATTATATAGTAGTAGATACAAACAACCATAGGATACAGGTTTCATGGTTTACTAATATATTGGAGATTATATAGTTGTAGATACAAACAGCCATAGGATATTCATATTAAAGTATATAGAGAAGAGTTAGCATACTGTTTTTGTTAAGATATTTGAGAAAAACGGAACGTATAGAAGTCAGTTTGGTGTGACAGGAAAGGAGGAGGGACAGCTGTATTATCCCAGGTATACCTTCAACTTAAGTAGGAAAGTAAGAAATATATTTCAATGTTTTTTACATCATCATTATCAGTCCTAGGACAGATTTGATCTTTAAGTTATATAGATATTGATAAACAATTACTACAAAATAATGTTTAGAATAATTATTAAAATAATATTTGGAAAGTTATTCGGTGTTTTTTAAACTCTCTACTCAGACGTGTTTTTTTGGGGTCTTCTGTTTGGTCAGCCAGGGAAGGGGATAAGTTTACCTGGATGAGATGTTTTTATTGGTCTATTGTCTGTCAAATTATGGGTTGGTAGATTCTTACAATTCCATTCTTCACTCGGATTAGAAATGGACTTGGATATACGTAAAAACAAACAACATTAAGAAAAGACGATTTTCCTGCAAATTAAAGTTGCTATGGGAAAACCGGTGTTACTAATGTAAGCAAAATTCCTAAAAAATAGTTTAAAGAAATACCAAACAATCTATTTTAAAATATTGAAATTAGGACATATTAGATGTCAAAAATAGATTTTGAGAAATAAGAGAACGTAAATGGTAATATCCCCCCAAATTCCATTTTTTGCCCTTGATTTAACAATAATTTTTAAATTAGAATAAAAAACAATGCAAAGAATAATCGCATCTTTAATAGCCATTTTGTCATGTTTTGCTGGTGACGTTTTGTTACTAATTTTATCCTAAAAGTCATTTTCACATGGCAATTTTAATTTTACAATGTTTGTACTCCTAGTTGTTCAGATTGTACTCCTAGTTGTTCAGATTGTACTCCTAGTTGTTCAGATTGGCAAAACCGAATCCCATCCAATCTTATTTCGACTATATATCTATTTATCTGCTTATGAAATATGTTGTGATTGTGAGCTTTGATTAAGTATTTGTTTTGTCTCTATCAATCCATCACCGTATCTATGTCTGTAGGAAAGTAGCTGTGATGAAGGGCTCTGGGAAGTTTGTAATCTGTGACAGGGGAAACGAAAGATCAAGAATGCAAATATTTACTAAACAGGGACATTTTGTCAGGTTAGTTTAGTACTTTGTCAGGTAAGTTTAGTACTTTTTCATGTTTAGTACTTTGTCAGGTTAGTTTAGTATTTTGTTAGGTTAGTTTAGTACATTGTCAGGTTAGTTTAGTACTTTGTCAGGTTAGTTTAGTACTTTGTTAGGTTAGTTTAGTACATTGTCAGGTTAGTTTAGTACTTTGTCAGGTTAGTTTAGTACTTTGCCAGGTTAGATCATTTGTTGGATGTTAGGTTCTTTTCCAAAGGCATTTTCTCAAATCGCCCTTGGGAAAATGCCTTATGGAAAACAACCAACACTTTGTACAAAAAGTCTGGATATAAAAAATGTTTTTATTTAATATTTAATTTATGATTGTTTAGGAAAATCTCAATCCGCTTTGTTGACATCGTAGCTTCCTTAGCTATAACTAGAGAGGGACATATAGGTAAATACACATTATTCCGTAGAAATCAGGATTGAGCCTTTGTTAAAAATTATCGTAAAAACGATTATTAATGTCACAATTAGTTACGACACAGTCTAGTGTGGCGGAGTACAGACCAATGACTTCAAGTCACCGCCCAGCTGCAAGTGCCACATATAGATAGTCCATCTTGGTACTAACCTAGTATGAAACTATTCAGAAAATTATTAATGTACTTAATATAAAGTAAAAAAAGGATAATGTCATAATTAAGTATTTTGAACTGTTCAGTTGTTGTGGACAGTGTAACACCGACTTTATTTATTATCTCTGAGCAGGGGGAAATTATCAGCTGGTTCGAGTGTGCAGGTATATATTATTATTCATTGTAAATACATTATTAAAATTAAGCCTCGAATCCCCCCACCCCTCATCTCCAGACAGATACAATTCAAACGATTTTTTAAAAGGACGGAAAGAAAGAAAGAAAGAAAGAAAGAAAGAAAGAAAGAAAGAAAGAAAGAAAGAAAGAAAGAAAGAAAGAAAGAAAGAAAGAAAGAAAGAAAGAAAGAAAGAAAGAAAGAAAGAAAGAAAGAAAGAAAGCAATTTTGTTTAGATTATATGCGTGAGCCGAGTGATATCTTCATCAGTGGAACAGATTTCTACATTTGTGATTTCAAGGTATGACCCGTATCACAATTTCTACATACGTCAAGAAGTAATCTCTGTGTTTTTATGTTCACAATTCATGAAACACTTGACCGATTTGCTTTAAATTTTGATAGGGGAATTCAGTAGAAGCACTGGAATGTTCTAGTTTGGTTTAAAAATATTAACATGAGTGAATTGGCTTTCTTTGAGAAAGTATATCCTCCATGCAAGGCTGGGTTCCTAAACTAGTATATCTATGATATACAGATGGTCTCGTATCATAATGGTCAATGGAGTATCTATCTAATAAACTATATACATATACAGGGTAACCCAAGGATGAGACTTCAGAGACGATTGTACGGAATTTGTTTAATCCGTTTTCTTGCAGTCAGGGTTCCGTGTAGACCAAAACTGGCATACTTCTGTGCTTGTGAATTTAGTAGACCATCAAAATACTAAATTGAATGCAGAAACCAAAAATCAAGCTGTAAATCGTCATATTTTTAGAGTTTTGGGTCGTCTTTACAGTCTTATCCTTTGTGGGTAACCCTGAATTACATATATGTTAGCCATAGCTATCCAAACGACTGAACCAAATTGGCTGACATTTTATGAGGAAACATTGGCTAAAAATATGGACGCCGGGCACTTTAGCTAGTCTACCATAATACTGAAAATTCGGACAGAATACTCAAAGAACCCTGTTTTTCTGCATGCTATAAAATATATTTGTAGGAACACATCTTATCATTTATGTTTATATATATATATATATATATTCACTATGGTTTCAATACCTTTATTTTCAGGGACACAATGTGGTATAAATATTATATTTGTTGGGACACAATGTGGTATAAATATTATATTTGCAGGGGCACAATATGGTATAAATACTATATTTGTAGGGTCACAATGTGGTATAAATATTATATTTGTTGGGACACAATATGGTATAAATACTATATTTGTAGGGACACAATGTGGTATAAATATCTGTATTTGTAGGGACACAATGTGGTATAAATATTATATTTGTAGGGACACAATGTGGTATAAATATCTATATTTTTAGGGACACAATGTGGTATAAATATCTATTTTTAGGGACAGAATGTGGTATAAATATCTAAATTTTTAGGGACACAATGTGGTATAAATATCTGTATTTTTATGAACATAGTTTGGTATAAATATCTATATTTGCAGGGGCACAATATGGTATAAATACTAAAATTGTAGGGACACAATGTGGTATAATGTGGTATAAATATCTAAATTTTTAGGGACACAATGTGGTATAAATATCTGTATTTTTATGAACATAGTTTGGTATAAATATCTATATTTGCAGGGACACAATGTGGTATAAATACTATATTTGTAGGGACACAATGTGGTATAAATATCTATATTTTTATGAACACAGTTTGGTATAAATATCTATATTTGCAGGGGCACAATATGGTATAAATACTATATTTGTAGGGACACAATGTGGTATAAATATCTATATTTTTAGGGACACAGTTTGGTATAGATATCTTTATTTGCAGGGCACAATGTTGTATAAATATCTATATTTGTAGGGACACAATGTGGTATAAATATCTATATTTCTAGGGACACAATGTGGTATAAATATCTATATTTGTAGGGCACAATGTGGTATAAATATCTATATTTTTATGAACATAGTTTGGTATAGATATCTTTATTTGCAGGGCACAATGTTGTATAAATATCTATATTTGTAGGGACACAATGTTGTTCAAATACCTGTATTTTTAGGAACACAATTCTATATATATTAAAGCTCTTCGCTCATATCTTATATATTTCTAGGTCAGCAATAGCTAGCCTAATGACTGGACCAAATTAGCTTTTTTTAGAGAACCCATGGCTACCCTGGGGATAACAAATGCTTAAAAATCAATTTATAAATTTTTTCCATTTTTTTTAATTCGATTTTTTTATATTACGAGCAACGCCGGACACTCTGCAGCTAGTGTGGTTTAAATATCTATATTTGTAGGGACACAATGTTGTGGTATTCTCTGAAGCAGGAGAGTTTAAGCGAAGGATTGGATTTGAGAATATTACTAATTTCCCGAACGGTATTGATGTGTCAGGTATTCCATTTTTGATTATATTTACCAAAATAGTTACCAAGAGAACATAGGTTCGACTGATCAAAGATATTAGAATGAGTTAAATCCATTAAAAGGGACTGTCCTTGTAATTTTAAGTGACCATCAATGGGAAGAGTGATCTTTCCGATTTTATAACAATACCTTTAAACCTTTTTCTGATCAACAATGTGGAATGAAGAGTCGGTTTTCTCGCTTCTTAACTGATTATTCTGACAATTTTCTCCTTCAACAGTAACCTGCAAGTCACTGTTATAAAGCACATTTGAAAAGTATCAGAAAAAAGCTTGTATATTTTATCCAATCTTGGTAAAAACAAAGCTTTTATGGGTACTGTTGTGAATCTGTTCATAGGCCAATCTATTTTATCTATGAATGAATTCAGATGCTGGAGATATTCTGATCGGTGACTCTCACGGGAACAGGTTTCATGTAGCAGTATTCTCCTCAGAGGGAAAACTTCTGGGAGAGTTCGAGTGTCCACATGTCAAGGTTGGTTGTTCTTTTAACTTAAAGTCATGCTTTGCGTAAATATGGGTCAATAGTGTGTCTTAAATGGTGTATTCTCAAAATTGCGTCTTCAATAGTGTGTCTTAAATGGTGTATTCTCAAAATTGCGTCTTCAATAGTGTGTCTTAAATGGTGTATTCTCAAAATTGCGTCTTCAATAGTGTGTCTTAAATGGTGTATTCTCAAAATTGCGTCTTCAATAGTGTGTCTTAAATGGTGTATTCTCAAAATTGCGTCTTCAATAGTGTGTCTTAAATGGTGTATTCTCAAAATTGCGTCNATTCAAAGAATTGACTCATATCGTTCATTTTACAGCTGTTGGAATTATTTATTTTTTTAAACACAAGAACAAGCCATAGGATATTTTAAAATCGATTTGCATTGAACACTGAGCCAAGTGTGCATGCAACAACTAAGAAATTCTGTTTTTTTTTGCTTCAAACCCTTAAAAAAAGCATTTTTATTTTTAAAAAGTTATAGTGGTACCTTAGTGCGCGTCTTTAATAGTGCGTCCTCAATTCGTCACCGCATGATAAATTCATTAGTTGTGCGTTCCTTTTTTACAACTGAGAATGTTTTAGTCAGTATTATTTTGATATAATTTATTTATCCAGGTTTCCCGTTGTTGTGGGCTAAAGATAACTAGTGAGGGATATGTGGTAACCCTGGCGAAGAATAACCACCATGTTCTAGTTCTAAACACCCTGTACATACCCTAGTTTATCTAATACATAGTACACCCATATTTGGTGTACAAGGTATATAACACGAGGAATTTGTCCGAACATTTTGATTGAATTTTCAGTAATTCAGAAGTGAGTGGAAAACTGCACTTCTCTCCAGTATTCTACATTATATAGTATATACCTACCTATATATATCAAACATTCGATTCTAACGCTTAATAGAAAATTTTACGTGACTATTTACCCATGAGTGCGTTTTTGCACATTTCTTTGCACACTCTAAAATCTGCATGTAGTTTATTCAAGCATGCATAACATGTACAAGTATTTTTTCTAGATTTAAACTTTAATAATTCGCTTTTCCATGTACATTAAGACTGTGAGTTTTAGAGCCTTAGTGTTCTGACTTAAACTTAAATCTTTAATTTTATTTTGACCCTATATTGTGTCGTGATTTTTAGCTAGTTTGAAATATTTCTGAAAATTTAGTATTAGTTTTTCTTATCTTTTAGGCATTTAGTATTAAGCATATATATATATATATATATATATATATGTTTATGTGTATACAGCGCGGCATATGTTTACTTGTATACTTGCATAACTTTTAGCTTTAACTACAACTATCTTTGCGATCTAGCGTATCTTATGTCCTTTGTTTTAGTTTTCCCATAGCTTCGCGTTCTTTTATCTTACCTCTTTGAAAAACTTTTCAATTTAGAATTTGTTTGAAATTTTGAATTTTTTTGCAAAATCTATTATTCCATCCATATCTAGTCTTTTTTAATTGATGAAAAATTATTTTAATGTTAAATTGTTTAGTGTCTTTCTTAAGTTTTTGGGTGACCACCCCTTTTTTTTTTTTTTTTTACAGGTATAATGCTCTTTTATGTTTGTCTTGTTTTGAGGTGCTTCATAAATACCAAAGTTTTTTATTTATTTTTTACCGCATTTTCTGATAAAACCCCATTGTAAGGTTAAGTGATTTCCGGATTCTTTATTTTCGGGATCAAATCAATATTTCCGTTTTGCTTTGTGCCTCTTCTATCTTTACTGTTTACAAAATATATTTACAAAAAAATATTGTAATTTTAATATTCAACTATTTACGTATTTACTCTCGTATACTAGAAATAGGTTTTAGAATTAAAATACAGCACTGAATTTCTGCCAACTCGGATAAACTAGTTTTTCCAGCTTACTTTTCAATTTACACAATACACAACCTATTAAAGATTAACATATTAATTATTAAAAAGAAAAATTCCTATTAAAGATGTTGTCCAAATTATAAATATTCCAAGAAACTTTCAAACAAGTTGGCAGAATTGAAATGTGCTTAAAATATACCATACAAATATATATATTTTAGCTCAAACTTATATACATGTTTTATCAAGGAGTTCTCTTTTATCCATTGTTTACAGTTCTGCAAACACTTTATATAAAACATTATCTCTATAATCAATAAGCCTTTTAGTTTATTTTGTTACTGGATTAACGGTGTAGCAAAGATAAAATAAAAAGCTGGATATCATATACTTCACAATAATTACAACAGATACCATTCATTATTCATCTTTACACAACCCTGTCCTAGCACCCATCTTAAGCCGAAACCAAATATTTTGAAATATTTTGTAATAAATTCTACCCTTTCACATTTAAAGGGAGAGACCGGTTATGTAACATAATTGAACTGAGAATGCAGTATTACAGAGAAAAACTTTAGGATTCATTTGATACCAATGAGACATTTTTACGGTGTACAATTCTTAAATAAAAGCGTAAAGTGATATTTTACCAGTTTTTTACAATTCTTAAATAACATGGACAAACATGTAACAAATACAATAAAAATATAACTAGTTGCATGTATACAAACAGGTTGAGAAAAATAACCAACTTCTATCATTGGAAATAAGTTTTAAAATTAATTTTTGAATTTCCCAATTGAAAATACAATTATAGAAACAGCAAAGGTAGTTGTGATAATGAAATTATCGATTCTGCGGTTTCATCGATAATTTCTTTAAAGAAATATGTTCCTAAACAGAAAATTAGTTTATAAATTATTTTTTACATGTTTTGTCCGGATTATTAAATAATTGTAAAAAGCCTTCTGCTGGCTGAAACAATTGATGTAATATTACTAATTACTTTACGCTCTTATTTAAGAATTGTAAAAATGTGTCGTTGGTATAAATTGAATCCTAAACTTTTTTCTGTACAATACTGCACTTTCAGCTCAAATATGTTACATAGCCGGTCTCTCCCTTTAAAATAAACTTCAAACTCTAATTATCTTTACAAGTCTTTTGAAGCAAACATTAACTATCTACAGGGGCGGATACAGGATTTAAGTGAGGGGGTGGCAAGATTTTTTAGGAACAAAAAAAATTCATAATTAGGAACAAAAAATTGCGCCTCAGGTGAAGTCAAAATTAATGACTAAAGACTAGAAATTTAGATTTTTAACTTTTCACACATTATAGTTTATTAAGACAGATATTTTTCCTGTTTTGCACTAGGGTTTCTTTCCTTTAAGCATGCTATTGAGAAGCTATTCTGAAAATAGGAAAAAAATTCCAAATTCAGGTGGGGCGAATGTCCCCCCGCCCCCCCCTGTATCCACCCCTGACTATCCATGATAATAACTTAATAACTTAATGATTAAAGGATTAAGAGATACCAGCTAAAAAAAAACTTTTATCATGAAACCTGGAGAAATACTAACGACCAGAAAGTTTATATTGCAGTATAAAAAATGATGTCCAGCTTTAGGAAAAAATCTGATATTTTACACGAGCTAGATTTACTTTATATTAACCCTATTCCTGCTTGGGGGGGGGGTCAACTGTTGAAATTTTCTGACTTTTCTTACATACCCGAAGCCCTCCCTTTAGGCCTAAAACCGGGCTTTAATACCAACTGCCTGAGTCCTCAGGCACAGTGCCTGATTGACTGCTTTTACCTGTAACAAACTAAATCTTTGTTTTGACCCACTTTCACTTGTCAGATTTTGATAAAATTTAGCTTTTGGAAAGCCTATGACATAAGGAAACGGATTGCACAAGTTTTGCGGAAAAAATTGCAAATATTTTGCAAACAACCTGTCAAAGGAAATTTGCACATTTTTAGTTTTTCTTGATTAAAAATCAGGTTATTTAAAATTTTGCAAAAATGTTTGCATATTTAAAATGGCATGGTCAAGGGCTTTTCAAAAATGTATAATTTTTCATTTTTTGGACAATTTTTTTTTGCAAACATTTTTACTATATAACTGGATTTTGCGATAAAAAATTTAATTTTTGCAAATTTGCAAAATTTTTTGCAGATTCTAAAAGTAGAGCACAAGAGCTTTCTAATGATGTATCATTTGTCATATTTGGACATAAAACATGGGATTTAGAGGGGGGGTCAAATTGACCCCCCCCCCCCAGCATATCCTGGTTTTCAAGTACCCCAGCAGGGATAGGGTTAAAACCATTTCTTCCCATTTCCAGAAGAAATTTTATCTTTCTTTTTTGTCATGTGCTTGAGTTCACAAACAAATAAAAAATATTATCTTGTTAGTTTTGTTTTAACTACGTGGTAAGAATTTATTGTTTTGTACGGGCAGGTATTATTCTAATATTGGAAAATCTACATGTTCTTATTTCTTTTTATGGCAGTGAATATATTATATACTTTATACTCCCTGGCCCTTCAGATGTAACTTTATGATAAGAAACTTGTCTTATCTGTTTATGAAATATTATGTACCTGTACATATTATGTACACCTTTACAGAACCTTGCTCTGATAACTGTACTGTACGCCCAGCAATAAGGTGCAGTTATTAGAGCGCACTTTTCTACTTTGGAACTGAGGAATCTAACAATTCACAGTATAAACATTCTAGTCCAGGACCAAACAATAAACATTGCTCTTTTAAAATTGTTTAATGACAAAATATCTTTTTTTACAATCGTTTATCTGAGCTCATTATGTGAACAGTTGAGCTTTCAGAATTCTCATTTTAATTGTTTAAGAATTTAATTGTTTTGTAAATTATTTGTAATTCTTTGCAGTCAATAAAAGTTTAATTATCAATTGTTCTTGTTTTTAGTTTACTCACGAACCAGATTAAATAAATAGCGGATTATAAAAGTGGTTTAACTATCTCTCACTATTACGAAGTCTAATCTCAGTTTTTGAACAAAATAATATGTATAATGTATATCTCAACATAATAGCATTCATATTATAGAATTATAACTTGATTTATCGAATAATCCGTTTGGTCAACATACAATTGCTGGATTAAGTAAGATCTAACTTATCTATTAAATAATCAGATCTTGCTAAAAATAGTTATTTAACTCAGTTAAAACAGAAAAAAAAACAGCTTTATTGATCTAGAAAACAGCTTTATTGATCTAGAAAAAAGCTTTTTGATCAGAAAACAGCTTTATAAATCTTAAAAAAAACAGCGTTATTGATCTAGAAAACAGCTTCATTGATCTAGAAAACAGATATGATAAGCAGTTACATTGGTAAAGAAACTAGCTTCAATAATCTAGAAACTAGCTTCAATGTTCTAGAAAGCAGTTTTATTAATCTAGAAAACAGTTTTATTGATCTGGAAAACAACTTAACTGACATGAAAAGCAGTATGATAAAGAAACTTGCTTCAATGATCGTGAAAATGAAACCAGCTCTTTTGAGCTTGGTTCCAGTTACATAGACTTTTAAAACAGCGTTAAAAGATTTTAAACCGGCTAAATTGATTTTGAACCCAGCGTAAAAGTTCGTTCAAACACGTTCTTGAAACAGTTTATTGTATCTGTGACGTCATTCTTTGTGGGATAATCTGTCGTAGATCTGGAGAGAGGTTTTAAGCCTCCTGACTTATGGATTTAAGAAACTGGTATCTCTGTTTAAAGTTCTTTGCTCTCAGGTGATCTGAAACCAGTTCTCTAAATAATTATTGAAAATAAAATCTTTTTTTTAAATATAAAGCAACTGACTTTGACACGACAGGCAAATTTTCTATTCTCTAAATATTTTCAACCCGATGGCGTAAACCTTCGATGTTTTAAACTTAAATTTTCTTACGAATTTTATAATTGGACAGATCAAAGACCTACGACATCAGGGAGCAAAGATATATTAATTCAAAAGCAGATTTTATCACAATAACTCGCTTAAGAAAAATTGATATCAAAATGAAAGTCCTGATTAAAATTTTAATAATTTCCTTGTAAGGTTCTGCTGAATCCAGAACTGACGTTTATCTGCCTCTATCTCCACCAAGTATTTATCTGTAACATTAAATAAATTAATCAATTTGGCCAATTATTCTCAGTATATATGAGAATACAGCATCAGTATCAGCTCGTCAATAATATACGTGGCATTCATTTGTGAACCTTCTCTAGCAAACAAAATACCCATGGTTTCCTAAAATACATGTTAAACAATTTCTTATATATTTCAATGTTGCGTCGCATAATATTTTATTGACTGCATTTCGAGGAAAAGTTTAGCCTAAATCCCATATTTTTTGGGTTGGATGGTAAGTTAAAACTAGTTTCTAAATGGTTAGTAAGTGTTAAATTTAAACTAGTTTTAAAATGGCTATTCTAAACTAGTTTCAAAATGGTTAGTTTAAACTAGTTTCTAAATGGTTAGTTTCAACTAGTTTCTAAATGGTTAGTTTCAACTAGTTTCTTAATGCTAAGTATAAACTAGTTTCTAAATGGTTAGTTTAAACTAGTTTCTAAATAGTTAGTTTTAAACCAGTTTCTAAATGAGTAGTTTAAACTTGCATATAAATGGTTAGTTTAAACTAGTTTCTAAATGGTTAGTTTTAAACCAGTTTCTAAATGGTTAGTTTAAACTTGTATATAAATGGTTAGTTTAAACTAGTTTCTAGATAGTTAGTTTTAAACCAGTTTAAATGGTTAGTTTAAACTTGTATATAAATGGTTAGTCTAAACTAGTTTCTAAATGGTTAGTTTAAACTTTTATATAAATGGTTAATCTAAACTAATTTCTAAATGGTTAGTTTAAACTTGTATATAAATGGTTAGTCTAAACTAGTTTCTAAACAGTTAGTCTAATGGTAGCTGAAGCGGCAAGCTAGCCTACCCTCTGTCTTCTTGAGAACTCTGGCCGTATCCCCGACACTGTACGCGCAAGCGCTGTTGGGGTTACAGGCCTGGGAGAATTCAACGCGTGGAGAATCCCATTCTGCGTAAACAACTTCTCCAGTATCCTAGTATATGTATTGTATGGTATGTTAAAATGTATTTCTAGCCTTCTGTAAAGGGGTGAGTGCTAGACTACGATAAGGAAGATCAACAATTATGAATATTGAAATCAAAGATAAAAGATAAATTAATAGAGCTGTCAAGTATTGAAATCAAAGATACAAGATAAATTAATATAACTGTCAAGTATTGAAATCAAGGATAAAAGAGAAATTAATAGGACTGTCAAGTATTGAAATCAAAGATAAAAGATAAATTAATAGAACTGTCAAGTATTGAAATCAAAGATACAAGATAAGTTAATAGGACTGTCAAGTATTGAAATCAAAGATACAAGATAAGTTAATAGGACTGTCAAGTCACCACAAGTCTAGTAACCTCCAACTGAAAGTCGATTATCCTTTAAACCTTATATCGTTGGAAATCGGAAATCCCATATAAATAACGACAACAGTCCCTTTAAAATCATCGATTGCGGTGTTTCTTGACGATTTTATTTATCTAAGAATATTACACCTGTGGAAGAGATGGACTCAGAAGAGAAATCCAGTTTCTTCGATCCGTTTCTCTTTGAAAATACAGCAACATCTCCTAGAAGTAAAACAATTATTTAGGTATATTTTGATGATTTAATTATTACGTACATATATATTTTTGGCATTATTTGATAGCGAAAACTTGGGAAATCCCGGTCGTTCCTTGAAAGAACGACCGTTTTGCACTGTTGACGACGCCCAGTCCCATCCTTGACTAGTGGAGAAAGAACGATATATTTAGTTACTTACGACATATTTAGTTACTTTGAGAGTCAAAACCGTAGTTATAAAGTGCATGATAACCAGAAAACTCTGGAATAGGAATTCGACTTTTAAACTAAAGTTATGACTTTAAATAGTCCAGTTAACAAGAGGCACAGCAACTGTATAAATACCTGAGTTCTATGTTCATGGTTCTGTAGCAGAGTAATCCACACAGGGAAGCTGTTCTCTGGTAAACCTGAAATGGAAACTTATAAATTTACAAAAAATATTATTTTGTTTCTTAGTTTTTAGTTTCAAAGTTAAGTAATCACAATTGATAGCTTAGAACCCGTTTTTTTATTATTTACCTTAAAATCTACCAAAACTATATTTCAAAGCTTGGGTAGGGGATAACTGTGGAAAAAAATATATCCCATGGGACCAGGGATTTGGATACATTAGTTAACCAGAGACCAGGGATTTGAATGATTTAAGCATTCGTTGACCAGGGACCGGGGGATTTAAATGATTGAAACATTAGTTAACCAGGGACTGGGGATTTAAATGATTAAAACATTAATTAACCAATAACCAGGGACCGGGGATTTAAATGATTAAAACATTAGTTAACCAGAGACCGGGGATTTAAATGATGAAAACATTAGTTGACCAGGGACCGGGGATTTAAATGATTAAAACATTAGTTAACCAATAACCAGGGACCGGGGATTTAAACGATTAAAACATTAGTTAACCAGGGACCGGGGATTTAAATGATTAAAACGTTAGTTAACCAGGGACCGGGGATTTAAATGATTAAAACGGTAGTTTACCAGGGACCGGGGATTTAATTAAAACGTTAGTTAACCAGGGACCGGGGATTTAAACGATTAAAACATCAGTTAACCAGGGACCGGGGATTAAAATGATTAATACGTTAGTTTACCAGGGACCAGGGATTTAAATGATTAATACGTTAGTTTACCAGGGACCGGGGATTTAAATGATTAATACGTTAGTTTACCAGGGACCGGGGATTTAAATGATTAATACGTTAGTTTACCAGGGACCGGGGATTTAAATGATTAATACGTTAGTTTACCAGGGACCGGGGATTTAAATGATTAATACGTTAGTTTACCAGGGACCGGGGATTTAAATGATTAATACTTTAGTTTACCAGGGACCGGGGATTCCTCCCGGTTTAAACTAGATATTTGAACCAGGTTCCTGTTACAGTAATCTATCACAGCATACTTATCATCACTAAATATACACATAAATAAATTTAGATAAATAAATAGATCTAAGTTGATAGATAGATAGATAGATAGATAGATAGAAAGATATGATAGATTTAGATGGATAGAGAGATTTAGATAGATAGATAGATTTAGATGGATAGATAGATTTAGAAAGATAGATTGATTTAGATACAGGTTGCAAAGATATAGGGATTAGAGTTTGTGGCAAAAGCTCAGTTCATTTAGATGAATTGACAGATCTAGATAAAAAGATAAATTTAGATTGAAAGATACGTTTGATATTTGGATGGATCGATTGATATAATTTCTTAAATAAAGAGATTTAAATGGATGGATTGAACAAAAAAAGATAAATCATATCATGAAAATTGTTAATTAATAAATACCTTTTCTTCTTTGATATGACTAAAAGATCACTGAAGAGGTAGAAGACTAAATAAGAATTAGTGTTAGTCCTTTTTTTATATTTTATCATGTTTAACAAGACATGATTTTTTATGTTTTATCAATTTTAACGAGACATGATTTTTTTATATTTTATCATGTTTAACATGACATGATTTTTTTATATTTTATCATGTTTAACAAGACATGATTTTTTTTATATTTTATCATATTATTTTTTTTATAAATTAATAATGGTATTTTATAAATCGCATTACCTAAATTCTGTCGACTGTTCCTTTTCCCAAAAGTTAATCTAAACCAAAATCAAACTTTTAAAAATTAATTTATGTAAAAATACAATTTTAACCTTCTTGAAAAGTCTATAAAACGTATTTAAATATTTCTTACAATACAAACAAAGCGGCAAAATAAATAAGGAAGGAACACAGAGACTTTTACCCCCCCCCCCCAAGTATACGCCCCTGAAGCTGCTTAAAATCGTCTACGATGAAATACAAACAAAGCGGCAAAATAAATAAGGAAGGGACAATGAGACTTTACCCCCCCCCCTGTATACGCCCTTGAAGCTGCTTAAAATCGTCTACGATGAAAAGCTCTTCTGTAAATTAAACTATATTAACCTGACACTTTCAGTTGATTCCTTCCACTGAATTCTGAAACAAAACTTTATCATTTTCTCGTTTTTTGGTATCGTTACAAAAACTACAGTTAGGCCCTGCTACAGTGGAATTAGAAGACGATATTTACACAATATTATGTGTAGCAAATGTGTGCACAATTTCTGTGTTTTATGTTCATTGGAATATTAAAAATTATAACAGTCGTCTTCCTACCCTACAGTTTGATGGGTCCCGCTGTATTATACTTTGTGTTACCTTGAAACTTCTCCTTGTTTTACTAGATATCTTGAGGAAGATATTAGAGCTATAGCTCTTAACTCTCTAAATATAAATATTCTATTTTATTGAACCAAGATTTACTTTCTTTTTAACATTTAAAATGTCAATATATATCTCTCTGTTTGTAAAAAAAACGTTTTTTTCGCCCTTGATTTTAACTTTGCCCAAGCGATGATGACAAATTTTTATAAAATATTTAATAGATTTTCAATGCATTATTTCCTGTTTGGAAAATGAGACTGTTGTCACCTGAAATCCAAAAGTTTACTAATACAGATCAGTTCCTCCATTCTTTAAAAATATTCATATTTATTTTTAGATACAGAAACAAATAGACCTTTCTCAAGAAAGTTTTTTAGTTTTTTTAATAAGTTATGTTTGGGGGTCTTTTTGGTGATCAAAGCGTAAGATTCAGATTTAAAAATTTATTTTTGAATATGTTTAAGTTCCTGTAAACGCTTCTAGCACCCTCATTACATTCCTCTACTAAACAGTTCAACACTTCTATACATTCTCTGAACAAAGAATAACCGCGTCAGATTACATAATAGTATATCTATATAATAAAGCTCTTTGCTTATATATATTTATATATTTGTATATATGTAAGCTATAGCTGAGGGAATCCTTGATCACCCCGGGGGTAGCAAAGGCTAAAAAAATCCTAAAATATTTTTCGAAATTCGAAAAAAAAAATTTAAGTGTTTCTAAAATTTCACGGGCAACGCCGGGCACTTGAGCTAGTATCAAATAATATCTTATATAAATATATCTTATAAAGTAAATGTATTAAACAGGATAAAAAGAAGCATACAATCTGGCAACAAGATTATTAATTTGAATTCAGATTTTTTAGTATACATATCAACCTGTGGAATGAGGAAAAGTTTTTTTTTAAATATATCTTTTGTAATATATCACCTAGAATTGTAAGATATTACCTAGCCGTGTGATATTCCTGCTCTGTAGATGAAAGACGACCCTGGAGCGCGGACACTAATAGCGGAAGCCGCGTAACACGTTGCATTGGTAACATCAAGAAGGAGTGCAGGGAAAGGGACTGACAGGTCTGAAATTGAAAGAACCGGTTCATGTAGGATTTAGTACTGATAAAATCATAAATACGTCGACAAATGAATGATGGAAGAACTTTCTTAGAAATCTAAAAAAGGAATAATTTGATCAAAGAATATTCAATGATTCAGTTAATTAATTATCCATGACTTCAGAAAATCATGAAAAATCAAATTCATACTTTTAATCTCTATTTCTTAAATATCATTCTTTTTTCAATTATATATTATCTACCTGCTCTTTACTAAAACTAATATTCAGAAGAAAAAACGCCTACTTCTTAAAGGGGCCGTTCCCTTATTTGGGTGATTTCATGGTAAATTAAACAGCCTATTTATTAGCTCTTAATTGGAATTGGATTTTTTTGTTCAGAATACGAGCGCATAGGTATGATTAGCTAATAAGCTATTTAGTTTACTATTAAATTACCCTTATAAGTGAACGGTCCCTTTAATTAACATTCCCCCTTGGTTTTATTTATTTCTTTTAAATAAATTAATTTCAGTTTAGTCTATTATAAAATTTTATTTGAATTGACCTGGGAAGATTCTAACTCTCTCAGCACCTCAACAAATCTAGAGTTCTCCGACCTTAACAAATTTTTTCAGACATATTTATTGGTTTTCAGACTCAGACTCTGACATTTACAGACATTTAAATATTAGGATTGTTCTAAATATTTAAATATTAGGAATGTTCTTAATATTTAAATATTAGGACTGTTTTAAATATTTAAATATTAGGACTGTTCTAAATATTCACATATTAGGATTGTTCTAAATATTTAAATATTAGTACTGTTCTAAATATTTACATATTAGGACTGTTCTAAATATTTAAATATTAGGACTGTTCTAAATATTTAAATATT